TTTCCTTTTTCTGTGTGTTTCTTGAACATTCTTTGGGATTCCATTTTGAGTTATTTCTGGTGTTTAGTATGTCTCTGTGTATTACTTTCTTCTCTAGTAGTTGCTCTAGGGATTAAAATATACGTGCTTAGCTTTTCACAGTCCAGTAATAGCAGCATTTTGCCACTTAGATTGGAACATAGATAGTTAACCACCATTTGGGCCCCTTTATGCCCCCCCTTTATAGCATAGCTGTCTATATATTTTCTTTCTACATAATCAGAACCTACTCATAAGTATTGTTTTTAAATGTCAAATATAATTTTTAAAGCTCAAGAGGCAAAGAATACTTTATAACCATTTCATATTATTGTATAACCATACATAGCTTATACTTTATTTATAGCTATACATATGTTTATATTTTTTTCTTTGCTCTTTATTCATGCCTGATGTCCTAAGATTTCTTCCATTTCCTTTTTTTTTTTTTTTTAATAAGAATTTCCTTTTACCATTCTTTTTTGGGGCCAGTCTTCTGGTGATAAATTATCTTAACCTTTTTTGGTCTGGAAAAAAAATTTTTTTAAAGGTTCATTTATTTATTTCTGTGAAAGAGAGTGCAGAGAGTGGGCCAGAGGAAAAAGGAGAGTGAAGCTCAAGCAGACTTCACACTGAACACAGAGCATGACTTGGGGCTCAATCTCACGACCCTGAGATCAAGACCTGAGCTGACATTAAAAGTCACTTAACTGAATGGGCCACCCAGGTGCACCTTGTCTGAAAATGTTTTATTTCACCCTTATTCCTAACAGGTATTTTCACTCAATACAGCGTTGTGAGTTGGCAGGCTTTTTTTTCCTCAACATTGACAACTAGTTGGCTATTTTCTTCTGTCTTCTGTGGTTTCTGAGGAACAATTGGGTGTTCTTTTCTCACTAGCCATTTTAAGGCTTTTTTCTTTGTCTTGAATTTTCAGAAGTTTGAATTTGATGTGTCTGGGCGTAGATTTCTTTGGGATTATCCTCTTTGGTATATTCTGAGCTACCTGAAATTGTTGGGTCATGTCTTATGACAAATTTGGAAAGTTTTCAGCCATTATTCATTTAAATATTTTTCCAGCCCCACATTCTTTTTCCTCATTTCTGGGGACTCCAATGACACAGTAGTTATATCTTCTTCTCTTGTCTCACAGATCTTTGAGGTTCATGTCATTTAAAAAAATCTACTTTCCCTTGTTGTTCATAATTTCTATTGAACTAACTTCTAGTTCACTAATTTCTTTGCTATTTGCATCTGGCTATTGATCTTTCCCTATGTTTTCTTTGTTTAAGTTCAATATTTCTGGTTGTTTCCTCTTTCACATTTTTTTACTTCTTTGCTGAGATATCCTATTTTTATTTGTTTCAAGAGTATTCATAATTGCTTCCTGGAGCATTTTTATGACATCAGCTTTAAATTTCTTAACTAAAAATTCCAAATTCCCTGTCCTTTCGGCATTGTGGTCTGTTGACTGTACTTTCTCATTGAAATTTAGATTTTCCTGGTTTTTGCATGATGAGTAATTTTGGATAGTTTCCTGGACATTTTTAGTGTTCTATTTTATGACTGTTTTCTAATTAAATTTTTTATTTAGCACGTACTCAACCTGTTTAGATTCAGAGTACACATCCTGGCTCACTTCCTTGGGCTGTGTTTCAAATGTTACTTTAGTTTATAAAGCCTGTGCGATGCTACTCGGCTCTGCCACTCTTGTTTGTTATCCAGATGATAAGACTCCATCCCACAGTATCCTGAGCACCACCAGGGGAGGGGGAAGTATACCTCCTCATTCCTGCATGGGCAGAGTGGGGAAATAAGAGTTTTTCCAACAGGCTCTACTAATGCAGAAAGCACTTCCTCCTTACTGCAGAAGGAAGACAGAAGTCCTAATTCTGCCCCCTGACTCCACTGGGGAGAGAGACCACCTTGTTTACTTCAGGACAGGCAAGGAAGTCAGAGTTCCACCTTCAGACACTGTATGGGAGGGGCACCGCCTTTTACCCTGGTGAAGGTGGGGAAGTGCAGTCCGAGCTCTTTCTTCTCTACATAATTATGCTCATTCAGGTTACTTGCTCAAATCTCTGTCCCTGATCTTTTGGAAGTGTGATTGATGTGATTAATTAAAAAGCATTTTTTATTATCCCTTTAGCATAGTCATAGGAGGAAGAGGACATAAATTTATGTAGGTATTTAGTTATCTTGACCTAGGAAGATATTAAGATTCCAATATGACTACATTCTAAAGTGACTTTTGGTAATTTATATTTATACTAATAAAGGAGGGCATCCTTCTTCATAAGCATGTAAAGTAATTAAATATTTTGATAGTCATTTAAAATTATGTGGTGCTAACACAGTAATCTCAGTAAAAACTGCCCAATATTTATCATTTACATGCAGTTAAAAAAAATGATGTAAAAATGTTTCAGTGTTCTATGATAAGGATCCAAATAAGTAAACTCAATGTTCTATGATGACATCTTATATATATTTACATTATATATTATTTATATATTATATGTTTATGTGTAATATATTTTTTATTTTATTTTTTTAAAAGATTTTATTTATTTATTTGATGGACAGAGATCACAAGTAGGCAGAAAGGCAGGCAGAGGGAAAGGGAGAAGCAGAGGGAAAGGGAGAGGGAAAGGGAAAGGCTCCCTGCTGAGTAGAGAGCCCGATGCGGGGTTCGATCCCGGGACCCTGAGACCATGACCTGAGCCAAAAGCATAGGCTTTTAACCCACTGGGCCACCCAGACACCCCATGTAATATATTTTTTAAAGTATTTATTTGAGAGAGAGAGTGAGCATAAGTGAGGGGGTGGGGCAGAGGGAGAAAGACAAGCAGACTCCCCACTGAGCCCCACCAGCTGGGCTCCCAGGACCCTTAAATCATGACCTGAGCTGAAGACAGACCCTTAACAACTGGACCACCCAGGTGCCCCTATATATATAATATTTAATTTCTTCATAAACTTTAAGGAGGCAACCCAACCAATGTATTAATATCAAGAAATCAAAAAAATTCCTAAGCAAATTGTGATATCTAGTTAAGTTATGTTTTAGGTATATAATACTGAATGCATTTCCCAGTTATTTTTCATAATAGCTGTTTTGAGATGCAATCACATACCATGTAGTCCATCTATTTAGACTGTACAGTTCGATGGTATTTAGCAATCAAAGCTTTCTAAATTGAGATATGTTATTGATTAGCTGGAAGCAGATGACATTCGTTGAACTGGTTTAAGTTAAGTTCCTATGTTGGCTTAAAACTTTTCCTTCATAGGGATTCAGTTGGTTCCTTCAAAAATTTTTTTGAAAATTAAAGTGTAGAAAGGGAACTGCTATTATTAGTTTTTCATTGTGGTAAAATATACATGACGTAATATTTAACATTTAACTGTACAATTTGAATGTACAATTCAGAGGCATTACATATTTTTGCAAGGTTGTACAACCATCAAGACTATCTCCTTCTATAGCTTTTTCATCATCCCAAACAGAAACTCTGTACCTATTAAACTAATTTTTCATCATCCTCTTCACCCAGTCCCTGGTAACCTCTATCATGTCTTTTGCCTGCAAATTTGCTTTTTTCCAGATACATCATATAAGTAGAAGTATACAATATTTGTCCTTTGCGTCTGACTTATCTCACTGGGTATTCTTTTGGGTTATATCATTTGAAATTAGAAGAGAGAGTGGCTAAACTCCAGTGTTTAATCCTGTCTTGCCCTATCTCAATTCTTAGGGAAGAAAGAAAGACATGCAAATAATAAGGCAGGTGATAGGAGTTCAGACTTACATGTGCCACGCAAAGAGACCAGGTTTCACCCTATTGCTCCTATCTACTTGTGAAAAGTGGACCGTTCTTTGAATCTTCAGTTGAGATGTTAACTTCTTGTGAAGACTTCCACAAGCTATATTTGTCACACCTTCTTTTTTGGTCCTAGAACATTTTGAACTATTATGTTTGATATTGTTTGCGTATATGTCTTCCCTCACTAGACTCGAAGCAATGCAATGGTTTAGGCCAGGTGTTTTCCAAATTTTTATGTTCACAGTGATCACTCTACTGCTGAAAATATTTCTTGGGCAAAGGAATAAATCCATAATAAAATTTCACATGTAAAACCAAAATCTAAAAAAAATATAGTTTTTTACTTCATAATCATTAATGTTATCATTTGTCTTAAACTTTTAATTGTGATGTCATATGTATACAGGAAAATATATCATGATTTTATTAAATAAACTATTAATCAACTTCATGTTAAGAATTAGATTTTAATTAGGAACAGAAGCAATCTGGTAATTAGAAGTTTAATATCACTGACTCCAGCAGGATAATCAATAATTACTTATATTTGGGGAATTTGCATTATGACTATGTTGAGTTATTTAATTATGGCCAAACTTATCTATGGCTGTATAATGTTTTGGTTCTGCTATTGAAAACTCTTTAATTTACTGTGTTATGTAGGAAGGGGTACCCAAGAATATGTTTACGAGACTTCAGAAAGGGGCACCTGAGTGGCTTAGTCATTAAGCATCTTCCTTTGTTTGGCTCAGGTCATGATCCCAGGGTCTAGAATCGAGGCCCACTTTGGGCTTCCTTCTCGGGAAGTGTGCTTCTCCCTGTCCCACTCCCCCACTGCTTGTGTTCCCTCTCTTTCTCTCTCTCTCTCTCTGTCAAATAAATAAAATTTTAAAAAAAGACCTCAGAAATAGTGACATATTTGACATGATGATATCAACATATCTGTTGATATAGATAGGGATGTGCTGACATTACATAAAATAATCCACTCAAATTCCCAGCCATGGTAGTATTGAAAACCAGTATGCTAGGCTTTAGGTGTAAGAAGCTAAGGTAAAATTAAAAAACACTGAAAAGTCACATCAGTGCTGTACAATAATGGATGAGAGAAAATAATGTTAGTCACTGATGCATTCCTTTTTTTCTCCTGTTTAGGGTTGCTGGAGAAAGATAACTATTGATGACTTTCTGCCTTTTGATGAAGACAACAATCTATTGCTTCCAGCCACAACCTGTGAATTTGAACTCTGGCCAATGCTTCTGTGTAAAGCTATCATTAAGCTGGCAAATGTTGAGTACGTGGAAGGAAGAATGATCACTCACTTATATAAAAACAAAAAGGCAACAGACAGCTATACATCTATATCATACAGCTTAATTTTTTAAAAATCAATGTAAAGGAGCTTTCTTTCCAAACAATGTAAATGTTCTAATATAAAAATGAATATGCCAAAATCACTAATTGGAAATATTGGGTTAGCCAGCAATAAGATAGCATTCTCCCAAGAAAAAAATATTCAAAAATTATTCTATATCCAATACTTTCTTGCAAATGGCGAGTGATCATGAGAAATAATGTTTTGGCTTACTGTGAGAAAAAAGTTGGTTTGTAGGGAGAAATATTGGTTCATCTAAGTACAAAATAATATATCCTAGATCCAGTTCAAATGTTAGGTTCTGTATGTGCAGCAATAATTTACTAATCTTGAAAACCTGAACTCTTCTGAGGGCTGTCAGTATGTTCCTCGTGTTTTTGGTAACATTGGTCCCTTTTAATACATTCATGATGAAAACTACTCATATTTGCTTCGGTACTTGTGAAATCTGCTTGCATCTTCCATTCGTGCATGTCTTGTGCATCAACGTATATGAGACATGTCTGCTGTGTTCATTCTCTTGGTTTCCACCTACAGACACCCTAGGCCAATCCATCCCCCACCCAGCCATGCAAAAATAGTTTAGATGCTTATGTTGCAAAGGCACAGCAACTTTGTATCATTGCTCAGTGGGAGAATTCTCACATACATGGCACTGGCTTGAATTTGATACCCTTCACCCTCCTACAGTGTGTGAGAGCATCTCATTCTCAATGGAACACCCACAGGCTCTAACAGAGACTACTTCAGCCCTTTGCTCAAATCTCAGCCTCTTCCCCTTCAGGAAACATAACCTTGTCTGTCATCAGACCTCTGCTCTGCTTTTTGTGGATTTTGTTTTGGCTCCCCTTTCTCTCTCTTTCCCATGGCTACACGACAAAACCAGCCACTCCTACTGCCATCCTTGTCATCTCTTTTTTCTCTCACCAACCCTTGATTTTTCTGTTTGGAATTTGTTTCACCCAACTCACAGCTCTTAATTTCAATGATTTCTTTTTTTTAAAGAACTCAGCCCAGATCTTTTTAGGTAGCTGAATAGTACTAAGTATTCATACTGGTGACAGCTATCTTTGTTTGTTTTGAAAGAAAATATGTTCCTCACGTTCCTAATTCTCAGACCTAACTTGAATTTCTGAGAAATAAAGCTGAATTAATATCAGTGAAGTGTTAAACCTGTGACCTGGAAAATTGGAGTGGCAATTTGTCTTTCTTAAAGCTACAGTTCCATAGAATTTTATAGCAACCTAAGAAATAGGATTATTTTTACTTTAAAAAATAGATAAATCCAGCATGAAAATAAAGGACCAGACTAGATTTAAGACATTTCTGAGGCTTTCTAGTGGATACTTGAACTGTGTGGTACAATTTATATTTGTCTATACATTTTTCCCTCAGATTTAATAGTATATAGCAATTATTTTCATATGAGTTTTATCTTTCTACATTAAAAATTAATGTGCAGTAATTATGTCAATACCATTGTGAGCTATGCAAAGGACAGAATATTATTTTTTTAAAGATTATTTATTTATTTATTTGACAGACAGAGATCACAAGTAGGCAGAAAGGCAGGCAGAGAGGTGGGGGGAAGCAGGCTCCCTGGTGAGCAGAGAGCCCAATGCGGGGCTTTGATCCCAGGACCCTGGGATCATGACCCGAGCTGAAGGCAGAGGCTTTAACCCACTGAGCCACCCAGGCGCCCCCAGAACATTATTTTTATGAGGTTTGCCAGTTGTTTCCTAAGTAGGATTATCCACAGAGGAGTTTAGACTAGACTGTGAACTACCCCAAGTGATTTTTGTTATCTGTGACATATGTAGACACATCAAAATTCATAATCTATGGGGAGCCTGGGTGGCTCAGTGGTGTGCATGGCTCAGCCCCACATCGGGCTCTCTGCTCAGTGGGGAGCCTTCTTTCCCCTCTCTTTCTGCCTGCCTCTCTGCCTGCTTGTGATCTCTCTCTCTGTCAAATAAATAAATAAAATATTAAAAAAAAAAAGAAACTGAAATCACAAGGATAAAAGAGACTGTCCTATCTTTTAAAGAACATGTTAGTATACTGAATATATAAAATATATATAATCTAAGTTTACATATTTTATAATATATGTGAATGTTTTATGTATATGACATGAATATTAACTTATATCTTTAAAATAAGGCTTATAGCATGTTTCTAAAATAAACATGAAATTTTATCTTTGGATCTCTTTAAACACTTTAACAAAACAAATCATCTGGCTTTTGCAATAGTATTTTCTTGTATTTAATAGGTAACCACTATGACCCCTACATTTTTCATGGCTATATCATTGTTTATTATTATTATTATCATTGCTACTAACTATGCTATTGTGCATTTGCCTCTTTAGCATCCATATAGCAGAGAGGAGAGAACTAGGGGAGTTCACTGTTATCCACGCACTCACAGGATGGTTACCAGAAGTGATCTCTCTCCAGTAGGTTTTACCATTAACTTCTTCATATATTTTTTTTTCTTTCTTCCCATGTAATGTTTCTTTTTTTTTTTTAAAGATTTTATTTATTTATTTATTTGATAGAGAGAGATCATAAGTAAGCAGAGAGGCAGGCAGAGAGAGAGAGGAGGAAGCAGGCTCCCCACTGAGCAGAGAACCCGATGTGGGGCTCAATCCCAGGACCCTGAGATCATGACCTGAGCCGAAGGCAGAGGCTTTAACCCACTGAGCCACCCAGGCGCCCCCCCATGTAATGTTTCTTGAATTAAACATTCTTAATCTTTAAGAAAACATCAAGAAATGACATATTTTACAAAATGTTGGTGAAAACACTATTTTTTAGTATTCTATAAAATTCCTTGAGAATTTCAGGATAAATTCTGTTTCCTTAAAAAGACTGTGAATTTACTCTTTAAATATCTGGATTACAAATATGAAAACAATGTTAATTCTTTATTATGGTAAACTATTTACACGCATTCCTTTATATTATACAGTTACTACACTTATTTAATACAGAAACATAAAGGCAACTTTTAATTAGCCACATGTATTAGGAAATAATAATAATGAAATACCTACTAGGTATTAGGTACTTTAATATAGTATCTCTAATCAGAAACCACAGTCTTGAAAATATTTAATCATTCAGATGGCCTCATCAGCTGGGTATGTGTCGTTACTAACAAGGAAACTGAAGCCCAGAATGGTTTGGTTTTTATAAAATCAAAGAAAGAAAGAAAAAAACCTTTTGACCCTCTGTATAATAATAGAAACAATCAATGATATGTCTCTGTGGATATAAGAAGATGATTTCAAATGAAGAGATGATTAGTTCCTAGGCACACTTCTCTGATGTTGGTGTAGTTCATCCGGAATAGAGCAACTGGTCACCTCGCTTTTTAAAACTGAGATATAATTGGCATATAATAGCCTGTTAGTTTCAGGCATTGATCATGGTGATTCAACATTTTTATATGTTACTAGATGATCCCCGTGATGTCTAATCACCATCTGTTAAAATATAATTATGACAATATTATTGACTATATTCTCTATGCTATATGTTGCTTCACCGTGACTTATTTATTTTATAACTGGAAATTTTCAGTTAATCCCTTTGCCTATTTCACTCCACCCCAATGCCTCCCCCTCAAACAGCCAATGGTTTATTTCCTGTATCTGTATGTCTGTTTCTGTTTTCTTTTGTTTGTTTGTTTGTTTTCAGGTTTCTGGCTCAGGAAATTTTTTTTTTAATTTAATTTAATTTTTTCAGTGTTCCAAGATTCATTGTTTATGCACCACATTCAGTGCTCCATGCAATATGTGCCCTCCTCAATACCCACTAACAGGATCACCCACTCCCCCAAACCCCTCCCCTCCCAAACCCTCAGTTTGTTTCTCAGAGTCCACAGTATCTCTTAGTTTGTCTCCCCCTCCAATTTCTCCCAACTCACTTCTCTCCATCTCCCAATGTCCTCCATGTTATTCCTTATGCTCCACAAGTAAGTGAAACCATACGATAATTGACTCTGTGCTTGACTTATTTCACTCAGCATAATTTCCTCCAGGCCTGTCCATGTTGATACAGAAGTTGGGTATTCATCCTTTCTGATGGAGGTATAATGCTCCATAGTATATATGGACCATATCCTCTTTATCCATTTGTCTGTTGAAGGGCATCTTTGCTCTTTCCACAGTTTGGCAACTGTGGCCATTCCTGCTATGAACATCGGGGTACAAATATTTGGGGTAAATACTTTTGTTTGTTTTGTCTTTTATATTCTACATATAAATGAAATCATATGGTATTTGTCTTTGACTTTTTACATCTAGCATTATACCCTCTAGATCCATCCATGTTGTTACAAATGGAAAGATTTCAATCTTTTTTTATGGCTGATGATATTCCATTATATATATATAAATATAATATATATACATATATATATATAATGTGAGTGATATTCATACATATATATAATATTCCACACCTTCCTTATCCATATCTTAGCTCTTGTAAATAATGCTGCAGTAAACACAGGTGTGCACATATCTCTTCATACTGGTGTTTTCCTTTTATTCAGATAATTCCAGAATTGGAATTGGATCATATGGTAGTTCTTTTTCAATTTTTTTGAAGACACTCTGTGCTGTTTTCCAGAGTGGGTGCACCAATTTACAACAATGCATAAAGTTTCTTTTTCCACATCTTTGCCATACTTGTTATTTCTTATTTTTTGATAACAGCCATTCTAAAAGTTATGAAGTAAAATCTCATTGTGGTTTTGATTTGTATTTCCCTGATGATTAGTGGTGCTGAATATCTTTTCATGTATCTTCGATTATCTGTATGGGTTTTTTTTGAAAACTGTCTTTTCAGATACTCTACCCATTTATTAGTTGGAGAGTTTGGGGTTTTTGGTTCATTTTATTTTGTTTCGTTTGCTATTGAGTTGTATGAGTACTTCATACATTTTTAACTCCCTGTCAGATACACGATTTTGTAATATTTTCTTTCATTCAGTAGGTTGTCTTTTCGTTTTGTTGATGGTTTCTTTTGTGATGCAGAAGCTTTTCAGTTTGATATAGCCCTACTTTTTATTTTTGTGTTTGTGTCCTAGCCTTTGGAGACAAATCCAAAACAAACAAACAAACAAAAAACAAAATGAGACCAATGTCAAGAAGCCTATGTTTTCTATAGGAGTTTTATGATAAAACCATATAAAGCCATGCATTCAAGTCTTTAATCCATTATGAACTAATTTTTGTATATAGGTAAGATAGTGGTCTGGTTTCATCCTTTGGCATATGGCTGTCCAATTCTTTCAACACCATTTCTTGAGGAGACTATCTTTTCCACACTGTGTGTCCTTGACTCCATTGTCATAAGTTCATTGACTTTATATAGATGGGTTTATTTCTTAGTTGTCTATTGTGATCCATTGATCTAAGTGTCTGTATGTCAATAGTATATTGTTTGATCATTATAGATTTGTGACATAGTTTGAAATCAAGAAGTGTGAGGCCTCCAGCTTTGTTCTTTCTCACAATAGCTTTGGCTATTAAGAGTTTTTTTGTGGTTCAATACAAATTTTATGATTGTTTTTCCTATTTCTCTGAAAAATGTCATTAGAATTTTGATAGGATTTGCGTTGAATCTGTCGATGACTTTGGGTAGTCTGGACATTTTTACAATATTAATTCTTCCAGTCAATGAGCACAGAATGTCTTTCCATTTATTTGTGTCATCTTCAATTTCTTTTATTAAATTTATTAAATTTTATTAAATTTCAATTTCAATTTCTTTTATCCTATAGTTTTAAGTATACAAGTCTTTCACCTCCTTGGTTAAATTTATTTCTAGGTATTTTACTCCTTTCGATGAGATTATAAATGGGATTGTTTTCTTTATTTGTGTTTCTGATGATTCATCTAGTGTATAGAGTGCAACAGATTTTTGTGTATTGATTTTGTATCCTGCAACCTGACTGAAGTCATTTATTGGCTTTATAGTTTCTGACGGCGTCTTTTGGGTTTTCTATGTATATTATATGTATATTATATCAAATAGCGACCATTTTACTTCTTCCTACCTAATTTGGATGCCTTTTATTTCTCTTTCTTGCCTACTTGCTTTGGTTAAGAACTGCAATACTATTGAATAAAAATGGTGAGAGTTGGCATCCTTGTATTGTTCCTAATCTTGAGGAAAAGATTTTAGATTTTCACAGTTGACTGAGTATGATATTAGCTGTGGGCTAGTCATATATGGTCATAATTATGTTGCGGTATGTTCTCTCTATCCCCACTTTGCTGAAAGTTTTTATCATAAATGGATATTAAATTTTGTCAGTGTTTTCTTTCCATCTATTGAGATGACCTTATGATTTTTATCATTCATTTTTAATGGGGTGTATCACATAGATTTGCAAATGTTGAATCTTAGTTACTTACATCCCTGGAATTAATCTCACTTATTTAATGTGTTATTGAATTCTATTTGCTAATATTTTGTTGAGGATTTTTGCATCTATGCTCATCAGAGATTTTGGTTAGTAATTTCCTTTACTTGTGGTATCTTTATCTGGTTTTGGTATCAAAGTAATGATGGCTTTATAAAATGAGTTAGAATGTGTTCCTTCTATATTTTTCCACAGAGTTTGAGAAGAATTGGTATTAATTATTCTTTAAATGTTTGGTGGAATTCACCAGTGAAGCCTGGAGTTTTGTTTTTGTGGATTATTTTGATTGCTGATTCAATACCTTTACTAGTAATTGGTCTGTTAAGATTTTTTATTTCTTTTTGATTTGGAAATTAATGTTGATGTGTTTTATCTAAGCCCAGGATATATGGACAAAGTATGGGAGCTCTTGAAAGAAATATTGCCTGAATTTAAGCTGTCAGTTGAGTCCAGTTCTGAAAGCAAAATAGTTATGTTAGATGCCAAGTTAAAGGAACCAGTGAAGGACAGCAAAGAATTCAAACCTGAAGGTTCAACGACAGCTCTAAAGGTACCTGAGAAAAGTGACAAAGCTCCAAAGGGTAAGACATTTCATATTCCAATGTCATTCGTGTGTTCAATATGGATATTGTGTATAAGTGATTTACATTCATTGCTGAATTTAATGATTATTTGTTGTCATTATCATTTACTGTGTTGTGAAAATAATTAGGATCTTATCTTTCTAGGATTTTAGAACTAGTAATGTTGTTTACTAGATGTTAGTTATTATTCCACATTTTGCTCTCTTTAAAAATCAAGGGCAACTATATATTTTGATGATACTGAAGTAATGTAGTATTAACATAGGAAGACACATTAAGCATCAATTTCCATCAGACACACTTCCTTATATGTTATATGTAGAGTGGAATGGAGCAAAACTGCAAAGGGGAAAGTTGTCCTATTTTGTCTTTTTTTCTTCTACCAAGGAAATTCAAAATAGACACAGTATGGATTTTGATTTGCTGACCATTTGTTGTAAGGTTGAAGTTCAAATTTGAAAATAAAATAATGTCAAGTTATTTTCAAAGTGTAAGATCTTAAAGTGAGAAACATATTGAATAATTATTTTATATTTTCTAAAATATTTCATATAGCTATGCATATGAATAATAATGTTTTTATAGTAAAGTAGAATTAAATATACTAGGATGTATTCAGATTTTTGTATACCTCAAAAGCATCTATAATGATCTTTAAAATATTTGTTTTATGAAATCTTATATTTTGCCCAAATTTTTCCTTAGCAAGATCTTATCTACCAGCGTTTACCATGCAGAAGTTATTGCTATAAATGTTCCTCAAGAGTTTACCAAGATCAAGTGTATGAGTGATATCTGCCTATCATAAGCCCTTCTTTAAATGACCTAATGTGCATTAATTTATGAAAGGAAACAGAAAAAGAAGGCTGATTAAATTCGTTTTACCTAGCATATCTCAAATTAGTTTGAACTTAGAAGCCTTTTTTCATGTATCACAAATTAACATACGTATATCCATCCATTCAGATATATTATTTTCTGAGTAGAATTCCAGTAAATGTTCCAGGAACTAACAATAATCTGGTGAACAAAATCAGATGTGGAACTTATCTCCTAGTGCTTATGATTAGTGAGAGAGACTAACATTAATTTTAATTCTAAAAACCATGACTATATACTAAGACATGAGACTTGAAGGAAAATACAGAAAAGTATGGGAGTGCATGTTTAGTCTAGGGCATCATGGAAGAATTCCCTAAGGAATTTTGAGCTATGTTTACAAAGATGAGAGGGATTTCTTGAGGAAGATGAGGGAATGTGGAAAGAGCGTTTTCTGTGAGAAAATAGTAGATATACATCTTATGATGCTGGAGGAAGAATGAGAAAACTAGCTTCATTCTAAAATGAGAAAACTAACTTAAAATTATATATAGTATATAAAATTATATATTGTTAGATATATATTATATTCAAATGATCATCTCCATTTAGCAAAATAAATGTATAGTCAATAACCAATAATTCTTCATGTCTTTGGCAGTACAGTGCCAATTTTCAAAGTTTTCTATTGTTTTATTTTGATGTTTCTAATTAGAGGTGAGTAGTGTTTTGGGAAATTTGTGGCTATTGTTTTACATTTAAATAACATTATTGTTTTGGCCACCTTTTCAACATAATAACTGAATAAGTAATATAATTTGAGATTTTGTAGTTAAAAGATTTATCATATATATTTTTAATATGTTAGAAAAAGCAGATGCAAAAGATGTTGGGAAGAAAAAGAGTAAAAACGGAGAAAAAGAAAAGGAAAAAGAAAAATTCAAATGGTCGCTTCATGCTTCAAGACCCTCATCAGATGTACAGTACTCACTGCAGTCTCTGTCAGATTGTAAGATTTCAGTATTCTAGAATAATAGCTATTTTAGCTGTCTCCTAAAATATTGGGAAAATTTGGAGTTTACAAAGTTGGAATACAGCTTTGGAATATAAAAGTGTATTGCCTGTTTAGACATATCTAAATAAGCTTGCTCGAGTTTGCCCATAATTGCTGAACTCTCAAATCAACATGCATGCATGTGGGGGCAAAGCTTGCATGTGTGACAGAAACCAAGGTTGTCCCAGTTCTTCTGGTACAACAGTCACAGAAGTGTTTCATGGAGGAGGACATATACTAATAAATGTATATGTTATGTATTAACATATAACAATCTGTTACATATTGTTATATATAGCATATTATATAAAACATACTACATAAAATACCATCTATATTATATGACACATTGTAAAATATCCATAAATATTGATATATAATTACATAAACTATATAAATATAAAATATAATTACATATTAGTATATATAAATATATGTTAGTATATGTTTCCTCTGTATAAATAAACTATATATATGTGTGTGTGTGTGTGTGTGTGTGTGTATTCCTAGATTCAGGTCTCTGCTCCATGAAAAATATACAAAGTTTAATATAAATGTAAAAATATATTTTCATAAGTTTCATATATTTTACCTTTTAATCCTTTCTAGATTGATCCTGGTTCATATTTAACTTGTATTTTGTGGCTCTAAAAATATTATTCTTTAATAAATATCCAATATAGTTCAATATTAGTGCTTGAATTTGTAAAGGGATAAAACAAGCTTTTTAATTAAAAATAAAGATAATAGAGAAAAATAAATTATACCATTTTAGCCAGACTCTTTAAAGAACAAACGCATACTGAATCAAATATAGTAATTTCAGGTCTGTTAAGAAATATGTGAAAAAATAAGTGATGCTCAGAAACATTAAATATTAAGTAGCTCATATTGTACACCTGAAACTAATACAACACTGTATGCTAACTATCCTGGAAATAGATGATAGATAGATAGATAGATAGTTAGATAGGAACTTCCTGGCCAAATGTATCTATGTTTTCCTTCTTCTTGAAATGACATAGAAAGTTCTAGCCTGCTTTAAATTCAAAATAAGGTTTTATTTATGAAAGCTAAAAATATTTCAATTTTAAAATCATTCCTTTTGAATATAATCATTTGTAGACTATTATAAGTGACATTGACTAATAGCTAGAGTTTTTTTGATAACTTTTTTATAGTGACATAAAATGATCTCTTAAGCAATTAAATGGTATTATGATGAAGGCAAAACTAATGAGATGTTCTATAAAATAGATGCATATGTGACATTTAACATTTATTAAATGCGTTTACAATCATTTACCTATTTTTCACCATGCAAAGATGGGCTCATTAAGGAATTTGAACAATCTGGAATGATCTACTGACAGACCTATTTGGCGAGAATTTCCATGACATGGTATATGTTTTTTCTACAGGTTCTTCAGCAATACAGTTGCCACACATGGTTGTATATGCTACGTTTACACCCCTATATTTGTTCGAAAAAAAGATCTTTTCATTAGAAAAAATGGTAAGCGCTCAAGGCCAGGAAGCACAGTACCGTTTATGGTGTGTGTGTGTGTGTGTATGTGTGTGTGTGTGTGTGTATGAGTATGTGATAGAGTGTGTGTGTGTGTATGAGTAGGTGGATGAGAGGGGGGGCAGTGGGGAGGGAGAGCGAAATAAAGAGAGAGAGAGATTATTTGTTGTCGTAGAAGGTATATCAGAATTTAATTAAATTCTATACCTGGATTTCAGTCTACTTATCTTTAAAATATTAGACACTTGAACACAGGGACCTGGAACATTCAAAATTATCTTAGATGATTGCAATAGTTTCTTGTTAAAAAAATGTATCATTTTTTCCATTCTAAGCAAAAGAAAAGGCATATGAGTTATATATTTCAGTAAGAATCATATAAACATATCTAAATACTAATAAATTACCTTTCCATAACAGATCATAAATATTTTCTTAACATAAGATGATTTAAATGAACTCACAACCACAGCTGGTAAACTACTATTATAACCTCCTTGTAATCTTTAGATAATATACACAAAAAATGTTAATTGATTTTTCTTGTAAGTCTAACAATTTGGAGGAAATTTAGAAAATGTACACAAAGTCATTGGAATTAAAATATTCATAGTATAAATACCTAGACATACGCAATGCTAACATTTGGGGATATACCCTTTGATTTTTTTCTTCTGTGCATATATTCTGTATAAATATGTGTATATACTGTTTTACACAGTGGAATTAAATTTTATGAATTTATTAAATTTTGGAAGCCAGTTTTTCACTTTACACTCTATCATTAATTTTTTTCCATGATGTTAAATATTTGACCACATAATATTTAGTAGTGGTATGGTGTATTTAGGTTTCTAAACATGTATATATATTTAAGTAAATTAAGTAAACGTGTATATATTTAAATATATATATATTTAAGTAAATATATATTTACCCATTTCTCCCACCCCCCACCTTCTGCCTCTGACAACTCTACCAATCTGTTCTCTATTTCTGTGAGCTTGTTTTGTTTTGTTTTGTTTCCGATTCCACATATGAGAGATCATGTGGTATTTGTCTTTCTCTCACTTATTTCACTCAGCATAATGCCCTTGAGGTCCATCTATGTTGTCACGAATGGAAAGATTTCATTCTTTTCATGGCTGACTAATATTCCATCATTCCATTTTCATTTTGCTGCTCTAATAGTTTGAGTTCCACTGCCTTGTCTCTGAGCTGACTTATCCTTTCTCCCGCTTCTTCTAGTCTGTTGCTGAACTTTTCTAGTGCATTTTTCAGTTTAGTTACTGTATTCTTCAGCCCTTTGACTACTCTTCATTACTTTCTTGTATTTCCATCTTTTTGTTGAAGTTCTCACTGTGTTCATCCATTTTTCTCCCCAATTCAATGAGCATTTTTATGACAACTATGCTAAACTTTTTATCAGACAAATTACTTATCTCCCTTTTATTAAAGTTTTTCTCTGCGTTTTTATCTTGTTCTCCCTCTCTCTCCTTTTGGAACATATTCCTCTGTTCTTTATCTTGCTTAATTCTATTAGCTTCTATACAGGTGATGAACAATCATCTCTCCCAGTCTTGAAGGAGTGGCTCCATGCAGTAGATGAAGCTTGTCCTTAAACCTTGCCTCAGTTCTGGTTGTCACTTAAACCTTTGCGCTTGTCTGGGCAGAAGCTATCATATTTTTAATAGCCTCCCATCAGTGAGGATGTGCTAAGACTTGTCAGCATCCCTAAGGGGAGGATCTTGGCACTTAGATTCAGGCGATTTGGAAGTCAGAACTATAAGCTGCAGCTTTTAAAAGTATGTAAATATACATAGTCCTAGGGCTTGCAAGTGGCCAGGCTCTCTGGTGGTGTCCCCTGGTTGGCAGCCACAGAAAGTTGGGGCTCCAAATGATCAACAAGCCCTTTTCTGAGATCCCAGTGAGGGGCAACAAGGCAGAGGGAGCATCCAAGATGGTGTCCACAGCCTGTACTCCTTGAGAGCAGGTAGCTCCATAGTTCACTAGGTGTGTGCCAAACCTGATGTCCCTGAAGCCTGCATCAGGTAGGCTCCAGGGCAAGCCAAGAGTCCTGCTATACAGGCTCAATTTGCCCCTGCACAGTGCCACGGGTGGCAGCCTGCCAAAGACTGTCTCTCTACTTGCCACAGTCCTGTGGCACCCAGGAATGCAAACCACCACTTGCTACCAGAGCCAGACAATCAAGAGGCTTCCTTAAAGTGGTAGCTGCAAAAATTGGGGTGCCACCCATAAAAAGCAGAGCACCAGCCACGTGTAAATCCCCCCTGCAGGAGACACGGGGACTCTGGAGTGTGGTGGAGAAAAGAACAAAGATGGTGCTTGCCCTCTGAGGTCTCTGAGAAGGATCACTGTCAGTCCCATGATGTGTGTTGAATTAGAAATCTGCCCCTCAGGCAGCAGCCAGGAGGATTACTTAATAGGCCTCCTCCATGGAAAGACTGACCTCCTGGATCTGTTGCCTCTCGTTGTGCACCAGGGGTGGCAGTTGGTTAGCGACTCTTTCTCGATCTGTTATAGTCTGGTGGGAGCCACAAGCACAAGCTCCATTCGTTGGAGAGGTGTCCCCTGGCAACAGTCACAAAAACAGGGCACTGGATGGGAATATGAGCTCCTTTCCGGGTGTCACTAGTTCTTATAGTCCCATAGGACCAGGAATGCAAGTTCCCTGGCCTCCAGAGCCAGGTGGTCAAGAGGCATTCCCTGGGTGGCAGCTACAAAGATCAGGCATCCAGGCTTATGGAAAGCATCCTCCAGGAGATACTGGCGTTCTGGAGCAGGCAAAGGGAGAGTGTGAAGCTGGCTCACTGCCCCCCCACCCCCCACCCGGGTTCCTGGAGAATGTTCCAGCATACATGTGTGTGTATGAAATAAGATGCTGGCCCCTCAGGACGAGACTCTCATACAAGCGGGTGAGCCTCTTTCACTTTGGGTGCAATCAACCAGACTTGGATTGGATATAAAAACCACTTTTCTCCTTCCCTTTGGAAAGGGTGAAGTCCACCAGATTACTTGCTCTTCACTCTGCTTAGACAAACACAATATTGCACTTGGAGCTTACCAAATCCTAACCCCCTGGGGGGCTCCCAGACACGCATCACTTTGCTTAAAGCATGAGAAGACTAGATGGTGTAGTGATATAAACATAAATGTTCAATGGGCTAGTTAGAAAGAGCTAGATAGTAAAAATTCAATGACAGTTTGGTTGAAGTGTGAATCATCCAGGTGGCTGCTCATTGCACTTTACTATACAGTATATTTATCTTCTAGATCATTTGCCCAGGCGGCATAATATTATATCACTCCTTCTCTTTCCCTCCTCCTTCCTCCAGCTTCTCCTCTTCTGCCTTCTCTTCCTTTTCCTGCTCCTTTGTCCCTTTTGAATAGAAACCATTTCTTCATGAGAAAATCTGCCACTTAACAGGAGTAATACTGTCAAGATGACAGGGCACAATGTGCCTTTATGAATGTAGAGACAGTGGCAGTTTCTCTGATTTTAATTCAAAGTTAATTAACTTTAGTCATTGGCTAAATCCAAGTACATTTCCTTGACCTCCCACCAAATTAAGTCTCTGATTCAGATTTGAGCTGGCCATCTATCTCAGGCCTCAGTTTTAAAAAGTAAAAGTTTATGTGGCACTGGCCCAGCTGTTGTCTTACGTATTCCAGAGTTTTAACACCATGGACTGCAAAATGACCAGAGCCGTGTTTTGGGGAATGCCATGGTCTCTTAATGGGAAGTACTCCAGCACTTCTTAAAACTACAAAATATAAAAGTGCTCGGCTATCCTACTGAGAAATTAGTATTTAAACACAAAGTTAGTTTTGAATTTAAAGGACAAAAAAGATCACCCATGTTTGTTGTTAATTCAACACACGTCTATTAATTACCTATTATGTGCTAAACAATGATTTAGTCTTTGAGGACCTGGTAACAAGCAAGACTAACAAAATTCCCTCCTTACAAAACCCAGAGTCTAATGAAGAAGACAGACAAGCCAACAAGAGTAATAAAGTTAGAAAATTGGTACAACAGAGATCATACAAGTTATTTGTCATATAATAGAAATAGTGTTCAAATAATGTGTGTTGGATGACTGACTAACTGAATGAAGTTAGCGTAATAAACGGGAAAAAGTGTGCTCAAAGCAGATGTTTCTTTTGGAAAGTCTGGAGGTAAAGGAGAGCTCACTGGGTTCAGAGAAGTACTAGAAATTGAGCAAATGGCAAGGGGAGAAGACTAGAGGCAGCTTGAGATGTGGGAGGGAGTCAGGACCTACAGTGTTACAAATCCTTCCTCTGGGGGTTGAAAATGGCTTAAAGGACCCAGAGGTTCAGGAATTAGCCCAATGTCTGTAATAATATCAAATGAACTATTTCACCCATCTCCCCACCCACCTCCCATCTGGTAACCATCAGCTTGTTCTCTATAGTTAAGAGTCTGTTTCTTGGGTGAAATAGATGACAGGAATTAAGGAGCACGCTTATGATAAGAACTGGGTGAATTATTGAATCACTGTAGTGTGTACCTGAAACTGATATATATTGATAAATCAACTTCAAGGCTGTAATAAACTGGCTATAGCCTCAATGGTCTCCCTAACTTACCTACTGATTCTTTTCCATTAGCTATTAGGCTAATCTAGTTCTCCTGGCCAATCAGAATGAGATACAATGTTTTAAAGAAAAATCAACAGAAAAAGAATTCTAATAGAGTTTTGTTAAATGCAGTACGTCGTTAAAAATTATAGCCCAAAGACAATGAGACCAATAAGTAAAATAAAGGCAATACTTTACATTTCTTGAAAAAATTGGCCCAGAATACAACAGAAAGAAAACTTGGAAAGGAACAAGATGGCATGAATTACCCCATTTTCTTGCTTTTGGATATTCTAAATAGTTTTAGTTTTATTTAAATAAGTAATCTGCAATTTCTAAGAAAGCCACCCACTTGCTCAAACTCCTACTTTTAGATGATTTGAGGTATCTGGCTGGCTCAGTTGGTAGAGCATGTGACTCTTGATCTCAGGGTTGTGAGTTCTAGTCTCACCATGGGGCTAGAAAAAAAAAGGAATGTTTAAGGTGGGATGGGCCAGAAGGGTGAAAGGGTCTTGGGGGCAAGGAAAATTCTAATATAAGTCTATACATGAAATATTCAAAAATATTTCTCGAGTGCCTACTCAGGGTTTCATCTGAGTGAAAATTTACCATTCTAAATCTCTCTCTGCCCCTAACTCTAATCTAAGAAAATATGAGGTTCTTTAACAAAGTCTCTCAATATCAAAATATAACTATTATCCAAATTATTATAAATTATTACATCATTCAGAAGTATCTTCAAATATGTTAGAAATGAAATGAAGTATGAGAAATCAGCTTACTTTCCTTAAATCCAGATAGTATTTTTGTGGATTATTCAAACAATACCATAGGTGTTAATACTATGCTTAATTATTTGACACGAGACCTTACATTTTCAAATGCTTTAAATAACTTTATTTCCTTATGCTTTATGGCTCCAAAAAGAGTAAAGAATCTACATATTTGGTTGCAGTTAAAAGAAGGATTTGAGATGTATAGACCAACTTTAATGAATAATAAAGTATCTGGAAATGATTCAGTTTATAAATACTACTTTGAGTAGGGCTTCTATTTTGGAGATAAAGTATAAATTTTTTTTAAAGATTTTATTTGACTAAGAGAGACAGCCAGAGAGGGAACACAAGCAGGGAGAGTGGGGAAGGGAGAAGTAGGCTTCTCACAGAGCAGGAAGGCCTACATGGGGCTGAAGGTATGACCTGAGCTGAAGGCAGATGCTTAATACCTGAGCCACTCAGGTGCCCTCAGGTATAAATTTTATAGTATTCTTTTTTTGGTTACTACCCTGAGGCATTGCTTATTGAATAACATAAATAAATTCTCCCATAAATTCCCATTTTGAGTGATGGAAAACTGTTAAACTTGTCAGGGTAAAAGTTGAAGAAAAAGGTTTAGACTTTAGAATATCTATCAGAAAACATTTTTAGGCCATTATAATACCAGAGGTTTCCACTTTTTTCTCAAGAAATTGCTAACATTCACCAAAAGGATAAAGAAGATGTAACAATTTCCTCTTTTTTTTTTTTTTTTTTTTTTTCTGAACTGGGTTCCACTCCCAGTATGGAGCCCAACATGGGATGTGAACTCACAACCCTGAAGTAAGACCTGAGCTGAGATTAAGAGTGGAATGCTTAACCAATTGAGCCACCCAGGCGCTACTCCTCTGCTTTTTAATTAGGCCTTTTCCCCCCTTAAACATTGAATCACTTTCCTCTTTATTTGGCATATTTTTAGCACTTTTAAGTGGCTTTTCTGGACTCAACAGTGTACTGATAAGCTCTTTCCAATTATTAATTAATTATTACAATCATTAGTTAATCCCTAGATTCAGAAAGAACTGTTTTATCTCACAGACACCCCACCTATTTTGCTTCTCCCGGAAGTATAGACTGAGTTATAGAGAAACGAATCACCAGGGCAAGGCATGTTCTGGCTGAGGCAATAATTTGGAACAGGCTAATTGATGGGTTTCTGGTCCTCATTTAAATGACTGTTTTATAAATATACATTTTCAAGCATTGCTATTTGCAGAGAAATCAATAATGCAAAATCACTAGGAAGAAAAATAGTTATTGGCAAAACTGACTTAAATGTACTTATTTTATTTTACTTTAAATGTTTCAACATTTAGACTGCAAATGCCAGAATATGCTATAGAATATATTACTTTAACTCTCACAGACTTTTTGATTTCTTATGGCATATTTCAGCCATCAGTGAGTAACTGAAGTTCTCCTTAAACATGATTCTGAATTGTTCCAAAGCAACATAGCAGCTTTAGGAGATCTGAATGGTTGCATAGGGGAAGCATCTTGGAGAATTACTTGATTTGGCAGGATTTGGGACAGCCTCTCTCCTCTGGCTTTCTATGAGTGGCTCCATTGTCCGGAGAGATCATGGGGATTTCCTGTAGGGTGAGGTGTAAGCTGCAGACAAGGAACTAGTTATCACCACATTGACCTGACCTACTAAGAGCAGTGTTTTTTTTTTTTCTTTAATACTATGTAGCGGTTGCTGGTGACTAAACAAACAAACAAACAAAAACTTCACATATTAAGCACTTTTATCAAATCTTTAACTGATCGTAATAATAATGGTTGATTTATTTGGGACCAAAACTGATGTGCTAAGATTTTTTTTTTTCCCAATCTCAGAAGATCTTAAGCTTTTAGAACTGAAAAGTGGCTTCTAGCTCTAGTCTCTCATTTTGCATATGAGTAAGTGGGGGCCTCAGAAAAATAAAAACATGAAGAGAAATACAAATGGTAATAGTGCTTATGTTAGGAGGTGGAAATATAGGTTATTTTTCCTTTATTACCACTTTATTATGGTAAAATATTCTTGTAACGACAAAAAAGTGGTTTATTTAAATGCACAAGGCAATTTCATGTATCCCTTTACATGTGCCTTCTGCCCTTTAGGCTGGTTCTGCAGAGAAGCTGAGAGAATACGGCCTCTCCCACATCTGTAGCCACCCCGTGCTGGTAACCAGGACTAGGTCTTGCCCCCTCATAGCACCTCCGAAATCACCTCCTGTACCTGCCTGGAAACTCTTTCGTCAAAAAAAGGAAACTGTTATAACAGATGAAGCTCAAGGTATTGTTCCTGTCGTCTGCAAATCTTTCTAACAAGCCTTTCTCTGCATGAAGGTCTAATAGTGTCATTTGTAATGAAAGATGTATATCAAGGCAAACCACCTAACATTATACCTAAAGCCTACATTCAATTTTATATCTAAATTTTATGTCCTTAAAGGATCAATTCGCTACATGTCAGAAGCTGAGCAGTTTGGTTTGCATCTAAACTGACCAGCCATGGCGCCTGGGTGGTTCAGTTGGTTGGGCAACTGCTTTCGGCTCAGGTCACGGTCTCAGAGTCCTGGGATCGAGCCCCCGTTGGGAGTCCCTCCTTGGGGGAGTCTGTTTTTCCCTCTCCCCCTGCTGCTGCTCTCCCTCTCTTATATGGATGGATAAAATCTTAAAAAAAAAAAAAAGAAAAAGAAAAAAAAAGAAAAGAAAAAGAAAAAGAAAAAATGGTTTCCTTAAAATAAATAAACAAATTGACCAGCTATATATATCCAGGCCATTCTTTGGGTGAGGGTATTGTTGTCATTATTGTGACAGAAAATGGTTTGTAACAAATAATAGAAAAAACGTAAAGAGCATATTTAAGCCACTGGTGTGAAATCACTCTAGAGTGCCCTGTAGAACATAACTTTTGAATTAACTGATTTATGTTTAGAATAGAAGCTGACCTTTGTCTAGAATATAGGAACAGAACTTCTGCCCTGGACTGGCTTCTATGGGAATGTTGTTCTAAGCCACCCTGAATGGCTGTTGGGCTAGAAATAAAGAGGTTCCTGCGGCGGCCGTGGGGGGTGAGAGGGGCAGGGGACTGTGCCCACCTGGCTCTTATTCTCAGTTCACTTCTAACTTCTTCACAATCTAAATTCTTCACAATTCCAAAACCTTCAATGTTTCTTCCCTCCAAGTCTTCATTCTTACTCTATTTTTTTTCATGAGCACCAAGTTTGAACGGCAAAAGATGTGAGCAAGGGCATTAATTAAAAAAAAAAAAAATCAATTTTAACATGGAAGCATGAATCTGAGCAGATGCGATTAAAAAAAGGAAAAAAATAATAATTTAAAAATTATGGCGTGGCAGAATAGCTCACAATTTTTGTTTAGGCTACATCTATTGCATTTCTGTGCCTAATTTAGAACTTGCAGTTTCTCATAAAGGATGATAAAGAACTGACCTGTCATGGATTATTTATCTATATATAGGCCTCTGTGCCTGTGGATATATATATCTTTCTTATTCCAAAACACTTCGATTGCTTTAATTGTCTTTGTTCAAAAAAGCTTTTTTTTTTTTTTTAATATCTTTTGTGTTTGTCTCCTTGCTTTTGCTTTTTCTCCCTTTGTCTTTGTTGATTGCTCATTGTTTTCTAATTGCATTCCTCTAGCAATGGGGATATCACATTCTAGAGGTTTTCACATTAGGGGTTCTGTTAACAGGTATGTTATACCCTCAGGAACGATGAAGGCAAAGCCTCCGGCCGCTTACTAATGGCATCACTGGGAAGCTCGGAAGTATGCTTTAAGCCTTTGGTGCCCTGCAGTCAGGCTTGTACCTTCTCTTGGTGGTGTTTCCTGTGGCTCCAGCTACCAGTTCAAGACTAGTTGATTCCCCATTGCCAGTGACCAGAGGACCACCCCTGGGTTATGATGTAATCCCAAAGTCTGGGTAGTACTCAGAACTCTAAATCTTCCATGGCCACAGAGATTGGAATATTTACCTGTTCCCTGCCTCCTACTTCCAACCATAATTTACATGTTTTTAAAATACAAATTACAACTGTTAACCATGTAATTTTCCTCACATTTGCTTTTTGCACTACATGATACAACCAGTACATCAGGTAGCAAAGATTTTCTAGCACAACGTGTTTTATCTTTTCCAGAAAAGAATAGAGACTAAAGAAATAATCTGGTTTAAAGGGAAGAAGAAACGGTCAATTTTTTTTTCTTTTTTTTTTTAACTAGGCCTATCTGCCTCTCTCTTTCCTGCTTGATTATTCCATTTCTTTACATCCTTTGAGCTTCTGCAGTGAGCTGTTGATGCCTGCTTGGGACACAGAACTTTCCAATTTTTATTCCCCCCTCCCACACCCCCTCCTCCTTCCGTTCCCTCCTCTTTCCTGTTCTCTGTCTTTCTGAACCAGAGATCAGCTTTCACATGATACTTGAAAGAAAGTCTTTTGCTTTTAAATGCTATATTTTAGTTCAGTGTGTAGAGCCACACTGAAAACAGTTGTTCCTTCAGAGCCTTGAAGAATAGTTGGATGAAGTGAAAAATATTGACCCTACAGAGCTTTTCTGACTTCACAACTGATTGTCATGTCATTCTAGGTAAGTGATGGCTCTGTGGCAAGCTGGGGAAGAAAAATCTACAATTGGTGGAAATCCGTAACTGGTCTGCCACCTCGAGTCTCACCCTGTAACCTTCTTTTTTTTTTTTTTTTTTTTTTTTTTTTTTATTTATTTGAGAGAGAGAGCATGAGAAGGGAGAAGGTCAGAGGGAGAAGCAAACTCCCCATGGAGCTGGGAGCCCCATGCAGGACTCGATCCCAGGACTCTGGGATCACAACCTGAGCCGAAGGCAGTCGCCCAACAAACTGAGCCACCCAGGCGCCCGGTAACTTTCTATGTACTGGGTTTAATATTTAAGGGGAAAATTAGCAGGGAGAGAAAGAGAGAGAAAGAGAGATCATTTTAGTGTGACCATGGAATAAGGAGAAAAAATTATGTACTTTTATCAAAGCTTCACTTTTTTTCCCCAATAGTTACCCTTTCCACTGCTGGAGAAGCTTTTGTTAAAACAATCATCCCTAATGTTTAATTTCAGTGACCACCATAGGATGCTTGAGCTCTGTGCCATATGCATGGAGAGTTTCTTCCTTGTAGATCAATTTCAGACTCTTTCAGGAGTCTCCACAAGGCCTTTCTTGATCCACTGCTTTCTCTTCTACCCATGACCTTCACTTAGTTACATTTTCTGTGCTTCTGCTACCATCTCCAGGTGTTAGTCTGCATTTCCTCTTCATGTTTCAGCAATTGTATTGCAGAGGTCAACTAAAAGAACACAGTTTTAAGTGAAAAACATTTAAAGAAGTAACAGTGAGGGATGCTTGGGTAGCTCAATCCATTAAGCGTCTAACTTTGGCTCAGGTCATGATCCCTGGGTCCTGGGATCAAGGCTCACATTGGGCTCCTTGATCAGTGAGGAATCTGTTTCTCCCTTTGCCTGCTGCTCCCCCTGCTTATGCTCTCTCTTTCTGTCAAATAAATAAATAAAATCTTAAAAAAAAAAAAAGTAGGAATGAATGTCCAGTAATAACAAGGAGACGTTGTTAACTTTCTCCCTTGAGACTTGATTGCTTCAAGTTTAAGTCTGGAAAGCAACAGAGAAGTAGACTTCAAATATCTAATATTGGCAGGACGTATAAAGCCTTTCAATATAAAACCTACGTATCCCAGTACATTCCTATTTCCCTCTTTTTTTTTTTTTTTTAAGATTTTATTTATTTATTTGACAGACAGAGATCACAAGTAGGCAGAGAGGCAGGCAGAGAGAGAGAGGAAGGGAAGCAGGCGCCCTGCTGAGCAAAGAGCCCGACGCGGGGCTCGATCCCAGGACCCTGGGATCATGACCTGAGCCGAAGGCAGAGGCTTCAACCCACTGAGCCACCCAGGCGCCCCTCCTATTTCCCTCTTTTGAAATTTGTTGGATAAATAATTAGTGTTATCAGTATTATAATAGATGTTAAGTTATGCATTTAATCTTAGAAGATTTTAAAAAGTACATTATGCCACCTGTTTCTTTTAGAATTAATAACGGAGAAGCCCGAACAATTTCTTGAAATTTCAAGTCCGTTCTTGAATTATAGGATGACTCCATTTACCATTCCAACAGAAACGTAAGTATGTAACATTCTTTCCCACAAATACATCTTGCTGACAAATGAAGTATTTTGTGAATTGTGTGGTTAGAAATGTATGCTTTGGTGACAGATGTACTAAACTTTGTATCACTGCGGTGATTACAGGCAAACAATATTCTTAGATTCTTTTTCACAGTAATAAGTAGAGAAGATAAATCCTGAATAGGTAAAAATAAAGCTTAACTATGCCCGGCTTTACAGCTTTGGCTACTGTTTTAGAAGAGTAAAGTACTTTGTTTTACTTAAACATTAACACTAACAAATGCTTTTGGTTGTTATCTGATAATGAAATCATAAGAGCACAGGATTGTCATAGAAACCAGAGAGATGAAGTGTATCAATCTTAGGGAAAAAAACAAAAACAAAAACAAAAAAACTAAGTAGAACAACAAAGACAATCAAGAAGTAAAAGGAGGAAGAGGAGGAAGAGAAATCCAAATATACTAATATTTGTCTATGGCAAAAGGGGTAAAAATAAAGACTATCATCCTGAATCTAAAATTTCTAACGAGCTCAGAGAAGTGAACAGCAAGTCCACAAATAGCAATAAATGAGAAGAATTAGTGAGTGATATAAGGGGAGAATATGATTACCACCACTAAAACAGTGGTAATTTGTTATGCAGTGTTAAGTAACTAACACATGGGTCTATTCCTATGTCAAAGATTACCAAACTTATAGTCTAAGCTTGTGCAGCTCACTGTACTTCAATTATCCATCAATAACATTGTAATGCATAAGGATAAATAATAATGTGTAAAATGGTTTTAAAAAAATAGGGATTCTAGGAATTCAAGAATTCAAGGGATACAATAATAGCTGAAAGTAAGGATTCGACAGATGTGTTTCATCAGAGATTAGATACAGCAAAAAAGACAACTGGCAAAATGGAAAACAGACCAGAGATAATATCCAGACTGAAAGATTAAGACTAAACATTAATAAGTAAATGGGGAAAAGTACAATAAAAACTAAAGGGACAAGTTGAAAAAGACCAACATATTTGCAAGTGGGTCTCAGAAATAGAGAGATGGGAGAATAATGACAAACTAAAACTATAATGGCAAAATATCCTAAAGTAAAAGAGAAATAAAATCAAGTCAAGAATCAATCAGAAAGTTCTGACATCAAGCAACGTAAACACAAAAAAACCTGCAACTAGACACATCGGGGTAAAACCGAAGACAGATAGGGTACAGGGATACGTAGGGATAAAGTCAAAGTCCTGTCTCACAAACCAACATGGATGAATGTCACACAAAATTATTAGACCGAAGAAGTCTGGTGTAAAAGGTACACGGGTTGCTTTTAATTATCCTACTAACAGACATTATGCAAAGAAAAATAAAAAGCAATCCATGGTCTTGGAAGTCATGATGATGGTTTTTGGTGGTGAGGAGGTCCAGCCGTGCTTGGGAGACACTCGGCACAGCTCAGGGGGCACTGGCAACATTAGTATCCCTTGGTCTGAATCATGGTGACATGGCCATGCTTCCTTTGAGATTTTTTCAGCAAGTTTTACACTTATGATTTGGTCCTTTGTTCAATGTCTTTTAAACTTAAGTAAAACTTCATGAAATATTTTGAATAGTTTATATTATAGGTCACACAGTGACCAGGAGTGAGGGGTTAGCTTTCTTTGGACGTAGGGAGATCTGTGACAGGAATGTAAGCTGAGGAAGAAGAGCAGTTAAACTTGAGATCAGAAGTCAGTTCGTTGCATTGTTTTATTTTTAGAGCCTCTTTACATCACAGCCAGTTAATTGACATTGTATGAACTCTGTTTAAGTTGAAAATATTAGATTCTTCAAAGCAGTAACTGTCAAGGCTCCTGTCAGTTCTGTGTACCAACAACTGACCATTGAGAAGGGGGTTAGGAGGGACCCCTTGGTAACACTCCTCTGGATAGTCCTTGGCAGTTAGTAATGTCAAGCCTTGAGGGACAACTTTATCAACTGAAAACATGGTTTGCTGCTACTTTGATTTCAAAAATTTGTTACTGTTACAAATTTACAAACCCATTTTTCTTCAAACTTTTGTTTTAACTCTTCATAAAATCTTATTTTATACTTAAATCTATGAATTTCCATAAAAGTTTTAAATATACTTAGTTTTGAAATTTATTTAAATATTTTAGATGGCATTTGCTACATCACTATGTTTTGTTATCTCCCTAAGAACTTTAAAAGACAGAAATCGTAGGAAATAAAATCTTGCCAAGTATTTAAATCTTTATTAAAGTTCAAATAGTCAAACTCAAATATTTTGAGAACCTTAATTTTTCCTATATATGCTATTAGTTTTTACAAACCAAAATTTTCTTATATGTTGTAACTTAATCATGAAGCTAAAATTAAATATGTCATACATTTGAAAGCCTGATTTGTTGGATTATGTAACATGCTAAGTTCTTTCATATGTTACAAATACACAATAGCATATCTACATAGAGTTTTCCTGAACTTAATATAAAAATGTTAATGTTTCATAATTTTTCTAAATTTTATACTTAGTATTACCCACTAAATGATTTTTCCATTCCAAGTAACTTTTTAATCCTCTCTCAACTGATGAGATTGCATACCGATCAGAGATTTTGTGGATTTTGAAAGCCAGAGCTGCAGACTATCAGGACAAATTTTCTCATGACCCAGACTTTTACAATCTCTGTGTCAATAAGCACAGGTTGGTTTCATAGCCTGAATTCCCTGAGTTACTCCCTTACTCGATTTTCTTATATTTTCTTTCAGCTTCATTATCTGGTCAAGGTGGACAGAAGTCTAAAATCCAGGTCTAACTGACTCTGACACCTGATTGGATTCAACTAGTCACTGTTTGAATCTGTTATAAGTTTCCTGGCTTTATTCAATCCAGCAGAGGCAAAAACAAAGATGTGAATGACATTTCATCCTACATGAAAGAAAGGTCGCTTGTCCTACTTTGCTGTGCAGTCAGAGTTCTCAGGTCAACATGAGTGCAAGCCCTTTTTTTGGCAAGTCCTTGAGAGTGACTGCTATCACAAGTGATCTTCCCTGGAACTCTGTCTGTGCTAGCAACATGTCAAATTGGCCCATTCTTGGCTCCTGGCCTTGTGGGAATCAGAACCTCACAAATATGACTGTGCTACCCTCTAGTGGCGGTTTCAGGTAAATCAGACATGGTTAGCTTGAGGCCAATTAAGAACTTTTCACTGAACACAAGTAAAGGAAAAAAAAGAAAGTGTAGGAAATCTGTATACATGAACTTTAATTTTATCTTTGTGAAGTATATAACCTAAAATGTATTTACCATAACAAATGTCTTTTTATTGTGCTTGTAAACTCGGAGGAATGACAATGGCAATTCAAGGTCATTTCAGCAATAACTTGAAAGAAATATCCTACACTCCTGTAGCTAGTATGAATGTCACAGTTATAAACTCAAGTGTTCAAGACTCACTCAGATTTCTGACTCTGAGTCCCATTTCACTGATACATTACTCTAATACTGAGTTAAATCAGGTCTAAATGTCAAATTCCTACATTCTCATCATCAACATTTAAAGATGATCACCATAGTTTTAAAATAGCATTCCAGAAAAGTTTTACGACAATGCATTGACTGATATGGATATTTCTTCAGTAGTGTAGAAGGCAAGTCAGTGTTTTTAACAGGAAATAAAATTTGTTTTCAGATATAAAAGGAGATGATAAAATGAACAAAATCAGAAATTCCCACTCTTGACAAAACTGCTGTTATTAATGTACAACGTAGTATCAGTCTATAAAAAAGAAGGAAATCTTGCCATTTGTGACAACATGGCTGGACCTTAAGGGCATTCTGCTAAGTGAAATAAGTCAGAGAAAGACAAATGCCATGTGATCTCACTTATACGTGGAATCTAAAAAGTCAAAACCAAACACAAACACCCAAGATACAGAGAACAGATTGATGGTTGCCAGAGGAAGGAGGTACATGAAATGGGTAAAGTGGGGTCAAAAGGTACAAACTTCCAGTTATAAAATACACAAGTCATGAGATATAATGCCCATGACGATTGCAGGTAACAATGCTGTATTGTATGCTCGGAAGTTGCTAAGAGAGGAGATTCTAAGTGTTCTCATGACAAAGAAAAATGATTGCAACTATGTGTGGCAATGGATGTTAACTATGCTTGTGATCATCTTACAATATATATGAATATCAAATCATCATGTTGTACACCTGAAACTAATATGGTGTTATATGGGAGTTATACCTCAATAAAAAAAAATGACGGTTATTTATTAGTAACTTCAAATAAGAAATTAGGATAACAAAAGTTTTTTTTTTTATTAGCCATTTTGTACAGTCTTTTATTAAGAAAGGGGTGCCTCCTAGATTTGATTTATCATCCATTACCGAGAATGATGAAACCGCCACCATTAGCCAGCCAGACTTAAGCCAATTGACAGGAGCAGTTTCTCAGGTAACTATGTTACTCTTATTATCAGCCCAACTCTTACTTATAAAATATCTTTTCTTAACTTGTGAAATATATTATACACAAAAGACTGTATAACATGCAATTGAACAGACTAAAGAATGTTATGAAAATAAGCTTTTTAGATTATAAAGTGACATATTCATTCCTTATAGAAGTCCTTTGTGCGGGGCACCTGGGTGGCTCAGTGGGTTAAAGCCTCTGTCTTCGGCTCAAGTTATGATCCAAGGGTCCTGGGATCGAGCCCCATATCGGGCTCTCTGCTCAGCAAGGAGCCTGCTTCTTCCTCTCTGCCTGCCTCTCTGCCTACTTGTGATCTCTGTCAAATAAATAAATAAAATCTAAAAAAAAAAAAAAAAAAGAAGTCCCTTGTGCATCTCCTATCTTCCATTCAGAGTTTGGTGTTAACCAAGCCCACACTCTTCTTCTTCCTCCTTTTTTTTTTTTTTTTTTAAAGATTTTATTTATTTGAGAGAGAAAGAGAGAGCACATGAGCAGTACAGCACAAGTAGAGGGAGCAACAGAGGGAGAGTGAGAAGCAGACTTCCCGCTGAGCAGGGAGCTGGATACAGGGCTCAACCTCAGGACCCTGAGATCATGACCCAAACTGAAGGTAGACTCGGACCAGCTGAATCACCAGGTGTCCAAACCCATACTCTTCTAATTTTGCCAATTACATATATACATTTATAAACAGTATAACCTTAGTTTAATTGTTATGTAATTTTCTTTAAATGGACCCATTAATTCCTCTGGGACTTCTTTCACTTAGCATCATTTATGAGCTTTACCAGCTGTTGTATGTCATAGTTCATTCATTTCAACTGGTTGAAGATATCTAATATATAACCAAACTACTTTTTTTTTTTAATCGCCACATTGTTAATGGCTATAGTCATTGCTGCTTGTTTTTTTTCTTCTTTCAGATTTTTATTTAAATTCTAGTTAGTTAGCATAAAGTGTAATATTGGTTGCTGGAGTAGAATTTAGTGATTCATCACTTACATGTAACACCCAGCGCTCATGAAAACAAGTACCCTCCTTCATGCCCATCACCCATTCAGCTCACCCCCCACCCACCTCTCTCCATCAACCCTCAGTTTGTTCTCTGTCTTTAAGTGTCTCTTATGGTTTGCTTCTCTCTATTTTTTTCCCCCTTTCCCATAAGTTCATCTGCTTTGTTTCTTAAATTCCACATATGAGTGAAATCATATGACATTTGTCTTTGGCTATTTTGCTTAGTGTAATATACCCTAGCTCCATCCATGTTGCTGCAAATGCCAAGATTTCATTCTTTTTGACAGCTGAGTAATATTCCATTGTGCATGTATACCACCTCTTCTTTATCCATTCATCAATCAGTGGGCATTTTGGCTCTTTCTGTAGTTTGGCTATTGTGGACATTGCCACTATGAACATTGGGAGCTTCTTGTTTCTTACTATGGTAAGCAGCGGTATGATGACCATTCTTGTATGTCCCTGTACACATGCTCCAGCGTTTCCAGAGTTTCAGAGTTTGTAACCTTTTATGCACTGTGGCTCCTGTTGCCAATTTTGTAAAACTTCAGCACACAATGAAAATAAATGCATCTGTGTATTAGTTGAGTATCAATGACAGGGAACGGTGGAAAACAAAATAACTGTTTGGGTTAGCACCATGAGAACACATCACTTCACTGTTTGGTGGAGGAATGACTGCTAAGTATAGTTGCCAAATGGTTGGCCAGCTGCAGGTCACGGAAGTATCTGTAGAGAGTAACACATGACTACTTGAAACCTAACGATGGGCCCCACAATTGCAATTTCAGAGTAGTGGTCAACACATGTGACATTTGAAGATATTTGCAACAACTGTAATTATATGTAAAATAGTGTAATTTCTTCCATAAAGTCACAGTTATTGCTAATAGTATTGTGGCTTACTTACCTGCATTGATAAATTGATAACTGAAGAAAAAGCTGAACTTGGACTAAAGATGAATTTTTTTCAACTCTCCATGTTCATGGATTCCTGAAATTTTAACTCTGGACCCCAAAGGACACTTGACTAGGAAGTCCTGGTCCAGAATGTGAATCTGGGAGCATAATTGATGGGTCATGGGGCATTTACCCATTTGACATTACAACAAAATGCCAAACAATTTTCCAATATAGGTGTATCAATATCCACTTCTGCCATGCCTGGATAAGAAATTTCTTTGTAAGGCATCATGGCCAACACTTATATTACCTAATATTTCAAATTTTGCCAGTGTGGTGAGTGTCAAAGGGTATTTATTGCTTAATAGGTAATATATTCACATGTTCAAAAATAAAAATATAAGGGACCCTTAGGTTGCACAGTCAGTTAAGCATCTGATTCTTGGTTTTAGCTCAGGTCATGATCTCAGGGCTGTGAGATTGAGCCCCATATCAGGTTCCACGCTCAGCACAGAGTCTGCTTGGAATTCTTTCTCCCTCTCCCTCTGCTCCTCCTACTCATGCTCTCTCTCTCTCCAATAAATAAATCTTTAAAAAAATAAAAAATGAAAATATAAGGCATACATGAAGAACTCTTGTTTCTATTAATATACTTCCCCATTTTCACTGCTCTGCACTCCATAGGACATTTGTTGCATTTTGTTATGCAAATTCAGAGAAACACAGAGATATTATATTATATTCCATAACCTCCCTTCTTCTATTTAAAATTTAACAAAAGAGTTTTTACTTAGTAAGTACTGGAGATAATTTCATATTTATACATAAAGAGTGTTTCTATTCTTAAAGTTGCATTATATTTCTTGAGGTGACTGAACCCTAGTTCATTTCTACTCACCTCTCTAGATGGCATAAGATACCTTGCAGGGCACATCATTGCATTCAAGTGAGCAATTTTTTTTAGTATTAGTTGAAAAGCAGACAAACAATTGAGAATGAATAGATTTGAACAGTTATAAAAGTTTTTCTTTAGTTTTAAGCTATTCCATGCAGTAGTTTTAGAGAGTCAAGAACACCATAAAAATAGTCAATCTGTCTTATTCCTCCTTATTCCCTTAGTCTTCCTCCCCAGAGTCAATCCCTTTTATTAGTGTTTTTTCTGGTGCGTAGCTCTACATTTCTAAATAGTAGGCACGCATACTGTTGTTGTTTATCAGCACTGGTGAAAATGCTTGGCATATGGCAGACACAGTTACATATTTATTCAATGATGGGATTCTATTTATTTCTTGATCTATCAGTTTAGATATTACCCCTTGTTGTGGAAGATAAGTATTTAGCACTGCTGTCCTCTCTCACAATGGCAAACCTTCACTTTCCTCTGCCTTCCAGATTAGTTTACTTCAGAAGTCTTTGTTGAATCTATATTCTAGCTATATAAGGATAATTACTGTGGAGACAATAAAGAAAAGAAATTCCCATGTCTGTCTGTCTGTCTGTCTATCTATCATCTATCGACATATCACACTTTATTTATTCATTCATCCATCAACGGACACCTGGTGAATAATTCTGGTCTGACCATGGGTGTAAAAATATTTCCTTGAGATACTGCCTTCAATTCTGTTGGGTTTTTATCCAGATGTGGAATTGTTGGAACACCTGGTAAGTCTACTTTAATTTTTCAGGAGCTACCATACAGTTTTTCACTTTATAGTCTCACTAGGAATGCACAAGACTTCCAGTTGCTCTACATCCTCACCAACATGCACTCCTGTTTTATTTTTTTGTAATAGTAGCCATCATAATGGGTATGAGGTTATAACTCATTATACTTTTGACCTGCATTTCCCTAATGATTAGTGATGTTGAACATCTTTTCATATGCTTTTTGGTCACTTGTATATCTTCTTTGTATAAATATCTAAGTCCCTTGCCCATTTTTAAATTAGTTTATTTGATTTTTGTTGTTCTTTGTATAAGTTCTTTATATATTGTTGATGCTACCCTTTTATCAGATACATGACTTGCAGATATTCTCTTCCATTCCACAGGTTGCATCTTCTTGGTATTGATGCACAGAATTTTCTATTTTGATGTAGTCCAGCTTATCTATTTTTACATTTGTTATTGCTGTTGTTTAGTGTCATATCCAAGAAATCATCACCAAATTCAATGTCATGAAGCTTTCCCCCTGTTTTCTTCTAAAAGATTTATAGCTCTATTCTCTTTGTCTTTATGTCAACCTTGTCATCCAAACTTTCTGTTGAGTTTACCTCACTTTCCTATTTTTAGTTTCTAAGAGCTCTCATTCTTCATTGTATTTTTTGTAGAAGTTTCTTATTTTGTAGATGGATGTTCTCTGATCTTTCTGATTTTACCAATTTAAAAAAGGTATCCCTATATATTGTTTTAGTTTTCTATTAATCTCTCCACCCACACACTTTAGTTTCTTTCTTTGATCTAAGTTTCCTTCCTCAATTGTCTGGTGATACTTTGTTGCACATCTATATCCAAGGAATTCATGATATTAATTGACTGCTGATTGGAGGTGGCTTTATAGAATGGCTAGAGCTTGTCAGCCAGTAGGATAATTAACTTAGGATAATTGGGGGATAAATGAGCTTCATTTGGGGGTAAGATTAGCTCCAAATGTAGATTCTTTGGGGGTTTTTTCCTTGGCCTTGGTTGGTTTCTCCAGTTAAGAGTCTTCTAATCTCCCTCCTGGGGTGGAATGGGTCACAGGGATTGGCATACACTTATCCATCAGTGTTCTTACAGCCAAGGAGCACAGGGGAGCCAAGAGTCTCAAAGTTCAGCACATGGATTTTCACTTAATTCCTCCCTTCTCTTTAGAGTAGCTCTGTTTCCCATAGTACCTGTGAACCCAGGTCTGGAGATTGCTCATTTAATTTCTCCATGTGAAGCAATTTCCAGTGTCCCATGTAGGCAGAAGAAGGCTAGATGTTAAATCACAAAGGATTATAGCAAAATGGGGATTTGTCTCTTCCTTAAATAGTCATTTAACCCATTCCTGTATTTTGATATGAGGCTGTATAGCATTCTCTTCTCCTCAGATGCCCACTAATCATTTCTGGGGCCCTAAGGCATGTATGTGATGGGCTTGCTTCTCCCTTGCTTCTCAGGTAGCTCTGTTCTGTTATTACCTGCATCTCTTTACATCATCCAAAATATTGTTGCCATCATCCATTATGTCTGAATGACTTTGTACCGTTTAACCTTTTATACATATTTTAATTGTGTCACAGAGGAAATGGAGTTGCACAAATGAATTCAACTTCATTTCCCTGTTTAAATTTGGAGGAAGCATTTTTATAATTTGAAACATACCTTTCTAGTTTCCGTACATTAACTGTCAATTATAATCTCATCTCATTATATTTGATCTGTAATCACATCAGATGCTTCATACCAAGCAGAATAACTACTTGAGGATATTATTGTTTTAATTTAACTTGTATTTTAAGACTCAATTATTTAATAAACTCTCATATTCTGGGTTTTAATTTCACAAATTTAAGCCCTCAGGCAATTATTAAAATAAATTCACATCCTTGAACTATAAGGTTAAAAACAAAGTTTCTGCTTTACCATGTTTTAGGAACTATTTGCAGAAATTTATTTCTTCGATGATTAAAAGACAGTATTAACTCTTTTAAAAGCATTGGTGCTTTAAATAGCTAACATGTTTTCTGAATTTATAAATGGTTTCTTAACGTGTTCCTTTCATTTCACAGGGTAATGTTATTTCACAAGCTATACTTGGAAAAGGTAAATTAATAATCTCATGACTTTCACAAACATCAAAACGCAAAAGGATCTCTGCTTCTTGACAGCTCTTAGAGGTCCCTTCTCCTGGCTCTTGGTGGTCTGTCTCCAATGTCTCCTCTGATGTGTTAACTTTAATCTGCTTTGGGCTAGAAAACTCAGATAATCTCACTTGTTAAATTCATTCTTAAAGTCAAAATCAAAGATATCTGATAAAGGGCCCATGAGTACAGCTCATGTGTTTTCATACACGTACTTGATGATCAAAGCAAGGAAACCATCACCAACCAATTCCTCAGTTCCTAAATATAGACTTGGCCAATCCTCAAATCTAAAGAAGCGTTATGTGGCATGTACATATGTAACATTTTGACTCAGGAAGCCTGTAAGAACTTTATGACATCACTTGATCAACATAAAATAAGATGTAGAATTGCTAACGATGTGAAAGCATTTAAGTGGCTTCTGAAATGTATTTGTTGTGATAGCTCTCTGTTCTCCTTTCTTCTGATGCATGAGCTACCCCTCCCTCTTCCTCTCTTACATGAACTTGTCTGCCTATAGCAGATGTCAAATACTTAAACTAGATAATTTCTGCTGTATCTTTATAATCTGTGAAGAATGGTCACACAAATTTATGAAAGTGATTTCAAAAGTTTTGAACACTCTGCTATTTAAGTTAGGATTACATTCTCCTGGGTGTACGAAAATGTGTCTCTGCATGGGCCTCCCTAAATTTGAGGCTTGCATGTAAATGATTGCCTCGGGAAACATTTTTTTCAAAAGTAGAATTCAATATGCAAATTGTCCTCTATAATTTTCCATATCTCAATAACTTAATATTTAATGATGTAGGTGCAATTGATATGTTTGTCTTCTGCTATGCACAGACGAACTGATAGACTTTGGATTGAATGATGCAACCCATCAAGGGGAAGGATTAAGTTTGGAAAGAGATTTGGTCAGCCTGACAACAGCAACACAGGATAAATCACAGGAGGAGTTTGCAACCATAAATAATAATGTTTCTAAAGAAATATGGTTGGATTTTGAAGACTTCTGTGTTTGTTTTCAGTAAGTATAAGTTTTTTAATGTGTATTAAATATAGTGGATATATAAGCCATTAACTTTTACCTATCATTCAAAAGAGTTAAACCAATATTAGTCTGATATTGATATGATACCCAGTAAAAATGTTAGAGAGAAAAATAAGTGAGTTGATAGTCCACATAGAATATTAATAATAGCCAAACAGATCTCAGGCCAGTGTCTGCTCATCCTCAGAGACTTATTTGTTGATGAAGTGAAAGATAGTTTACTTACTGAGAGGGATCATTTTTGTCTCCTTCGGACAACTAATTCAATGCAGTTGTTACTCTTTTCCCCTGGCTTTATTGACCTAAGAGTTGATAAATAAAATTGTAAGATATTTATATATCTTAAATATATATATGTAAATATATATCTTAAACATATCTAAATATAAATATAATATATATATTATATATCTTAATGTACATGGTGATGAATCAATATACATTATGAAAGATTCTCCCCATCGAGTTAACACATAAAACACCTCACACATTTGCCAATTGGTGGGAGGGGGCAGGAATATTTAAGTTATACTCTCCTAGCAAATTTCAGTAATACAATCCAGTATTATCAAGAACAGTCACCATGTTATACATTAGATCCTCAGACGTTATTCATCTTATAACTGAACGTTTGTATCCACTTACCAACCTCTTCTTAACTCCCCCACCCTTAGCCCCTGGCAACCACTATTTTCCTGGGTTGTTGTTATATAAGTTTCTTTAAATTTTCTTCCGTCTTTTCCTTGTTCTGCCTGTAATCATTTGATTCCATGAAACTTAGCATGTAGTACTAGTTCATTGCATATGGTGACAGTAACCTGTTATAAATAATGTTTTTCAGGAACATATATATTTTCCACAAGCCCAATTCATATTGCCTTAGCTTTCAAAAAACAGAATTCAAGGTAAATATATTGTGGTCTCTTCTCTTTTCCTTTTATGTAAATTTTGATTAAATCATGCTAGTACAAAACACCTTCAAATCTATCAAGCATTTCCAAATTTGTAATTATATTAACAAAATCAATTCCTAGAGTCTTCTACTGATCTCTTATCCAGACAATAAGCAAAATTCTGCTACCTTGTATCTCCAATTATGATTTATCTGATTCTGTTCAATCCTGAGCTGCATTATTATGTAAATTCACTTTAAAAATGTTTGATTTATGAATAACTGAAGCACAAATAAATTCACTATATTTGATTTCAATTAGTGTCTATTGAATTGCATGCTATTCCTAAAACAAAAGCACATTTCTACTACTATTTCTGCTTTTTTTGTCCATGTTCTGTCTACGTGGAGCCGGTTCCCTATCATCTTTATTGCCTTCATCTGGCTAATGCTAGAAGTCTTTCAGAACTTGACTCTGTGAGACTTTCTTCCTTGGCCACAGAGTCTAGGTCAAGTACCCTGCACTCTGTGTGACTTGTACTTACCCTTCTCTGTCCCACTGGCCTGATTACTTCTCTGTGCTCCTCCTCCCACCCACCCGTTTGATGTTATCATCTTAAGAAGGACTCTGTCCTTTTGTGTATTATTACAATGCTGGTCCTGGGATAAGGCAGAAACTCAATAAAAAAAATTAAAGACTGAATTAATTAACAAATCTCACATTGTGTGGCATTTTGGAGAAAACTATGAAACATAGTCTAGGAAACTGGCTTGTACTGAAACTCTTATATTGCTCATAGGGGGGCATTCAAGCCCCCAGCGATAATGGCACATCTCTATAAGGCCTGTGCAGAGGTGGGGGAAGAAAGAACTGTTGGAGATGACTTTTCTCATTGCACTCATATCAGATGAAAATGCAGGCAAAGAAAACCTTTTGAGCATTTTTCATGAGGTGCTCTTTAGCTGGATGTCTGCTCTGAAGTGAAGGATCAGGTCCCTAGTAGTGCCTGGGGGGAAGGTAGCTGGGAGAAATAGTCAACCTAGCTCTGGAGTTTATCTCTAAAGACACCCAGAGGAGTGCTTTGACTTTATAAAGATAACAACACTGCTAATTGGGAATAACTGAACCCAGAGTATGGGGTGAGAATAACATACAGTTTACAGGTCACTGCAGCATATTTCCATATTTGCACTGTGGGCAATAATAAGAAGAAGTCATTTAGAGGTGCTTACTCTGTTGGCCCTGCAGTAGGTTCTTTATTGTATTAACTCTGCATAGCAAACCCTAGAAAAGGACTATTATGATCAACATTTTTCAGGGAAGGAAACTGAGGCAGGTCAAGGCTGAGTAAACTGCCCAAGACCACCCATCTGGTAAGTGGCACAAGCGTCCTGAGAATTGTGCCTGATGTGAAGCCTGTGCCTTTCTCACTAGTTCTTCCCTCTCACTAGGTTTTCCGGGTTGGTGGCCTGGAACCAGGCTGCCTGGTTTTGAATTCATGTTTCCTTTGGGGTGGGATCTGACTAAGTTCATTCCTTTTTGCTTCCATTTTCTCATCTATGAAATTATTGCAGTAAGAGCCCTATAGATAGGGTTGGGAAATAATGGAGAGAATGTATATAAAACACTTAGAAGAATGCCTAGTATTAACAAGGGATAATCAGTGTTGGTGGTCATTGTTACTAAAGGCAGTTTGGTTATGCATTTGCTATTACACAACTATCCCAACACGTGTGTGTGTGTGTGTGTGTGTGTGTGTGTGTGTGTGTGTAAAACAATGGCCAACTGTTCTTTATTCTGATCCTATTTTTACAAAGTGATGTAAATACAGATTTCTCAGTCCCTTCTTCATTCCCCTGAATTTTTTTTTTAATTTTTAACATCAATGGTATGGGAAAACAATAATTTTTTCTGAGAGGGCTTTGGAATCCAAACTTAAAGCCTTTGGGATGACCTGAAAGGAAGGGTTGGTTGTGGTCTAAGGCCAGGCATTCCTGATTTTAATGGCCACAGGCACTGCCAGCTGAGCCCGAGGCTCCTTCCAGCACATTCTATAGATGTTCCATTGGTACTCCATGTAAAGGTGGGGCAGGGAGTTCCCAAAGGTCCCCTGTGCAGGCACCAGAGCACCTCCGTGTGACCTCTAGGGCCACACTGTCCCTAAATTCTCAGATTCTCAAAAATGGCAGCAAATGAGCTTTGTGCAGAAACTCCTCCTCCAGCATGCACAGGTAGGCTGGCAAACCCAAGCTTCCTTCATAATTTTAGAGAGTGTATTCTTGCAACAACTGCCTTTATAACCAATGTGTGGCAGCCAGAAGGAAACAAAGAAGATAGATGGCAAATGCTTACTATTGAAAAATATCGGGGGAAGCAGTCATTTAAAACATGGTCATGTTGTATCAAGCATTTCCAGCAATCTTGTCACACTTGATTAAATAACAAGGTTGTGTTTTTCACAGTATCACTAGAGATTTTTCTTTCATATTTTAAACGTTTATTTAAATATCATTGTGTAATAAAATGAAAGCTTAAGTCTATAATAGCAATGAAATTAATTTAACACACTTGCTATATGCCATCTGTCAGAATTATGTTGAAGCACCAGTCAGTTGAGAGGCAATACAAGTACAATAGTCTCAAAGACCAGTCCTGGAGCTGCTCAATAGAAAGACCTACTTTTGACTCTCAGCTTTGCTATTTGCAAATTCTGCCACCTTTGGCAAATTACTTATTCTCTTTGTGTTTCAGTTTCTCCACCCACAATTATGCATATAATAGTACCCATTGAGGATAGACTGAGTTCATGTTCATGTAACCCTTACATGGCTGTCCTTTAAGGGAAGTTCTGGTTTTACTCAGTACTCTCTTGCATCTTCAAAACAAAAACCCAGCCTGGTGCATTGGTGTTCAATGGCTGTATTTCTGAAGATACTGTAAAAAAAGGACAAAAGTATTTATATCACACACCACCCTGCAAAATACCTTAATAGAACCCATTAGACATTTCCATTCTCTGCTAAGGTTACTCTGTGGCCTATTATCAAGGACCAATATATATTCTTTGAGCACTGCTCAGCTTCCAGCCCAGTCTCCTCCATTTGTTATTTCTGGAACAAGCATATCCCTTTTCTTTGCTCTTGGAGAAGAGTTTTGACTCTCTGTTATGGGACAACCAATCTTACACACAGGTCCTACAGACCCATCTTCCATAGACTATTGCCAACATTTACCTAGTGTGATTTTCTTCATATCATGAAAGCTGTGAAATATTTATCATGGTGTCTAGGGCATAGTAGGTTCTCTCTAAATGTTAGGTATTGTATGATTATTACAAGTAGCAAATACAGCATTAATAGACTAATACTAAATTCAGTGATTTATCTGATTTCTTGCAGTTCTCAGATGAACGTGTGCCCTACTATCTATTTGTGGATAGTCTAAAACCTATCGAACTGCTGGTTTGCTTTTCTGCATTGGTACGATGGGGAGAATCTGGAGGTAAGAGAGCTTTGAGAAAATTACAGTCTTTTTAAATTTTTTAAATTTTTAAAAAATTTTTTTAGTGTAAATTATAGTCTTAAATCCCAGCTTACTTTCATTCAGTCCAGGGGAAATACAAGATGTTTAAGCTGTAGATGCAGGAACTTATTTCCTCTCCAGAGTCTCTAAGAAAGTCTTCCTTACATCACCTTTCAGGAGGCTCTTCCTGTTCAGACATTGTGGGTTATGCTCACTCTTGCCACCTACACCTCTCCTTGTCTTAGTCCTGTGTTCCCCTCTTTGGCATGATACCTACTTTTTTGTTCTTTCCCCTTCCACATGTCTTCATTCTTGAGTCTTTTAAAACTCTATTTAAAAACATGCAGTCTTTCTTTGATTTGACAATTCTGAAGCTCTTTTATGCCATCTCAACTTGGCCTTTGTTTTCATAATTATATTCTAGAAGGTACCTGCCTTATAACTGTGTCATCTCAAACATCTCAATTTCAGGCTCTGACTACAGGACCTGACTCTCCAGTTCACTCTTCCTAAAACCCTTACTCTTATAATCCTTTGACTCCTCCGGGACCACCGTCTACTGACCCTCCTACTTTTCTCTGTCCTCCTTCTCCTCATGTCCCTATTTCTCTCATCCCCAATGTCCATGACCCGCCATTGTAATGGTAGCCTTGGCCACACCTCAGTGTGATTGCTTTTCTTTCCCTCTCAGCTTCCTTTCCTGGCAAAACCCTGATATTGGTTGATTCAACAGATGAACTTTGCATCTTACCTGTGTGCATCAGAGCAGCTAAATGTGACTAGAGAAAAAAATAATCCTATCAGCTAGCCTCACTTTCAACTGAGGGCCGCAGATTTCAAAATGGCCCTTAAGCACTGCCAATGTTTCCCTGGTTCATGCATTCTCCACTCTTGTCCTCATGGAAGACTATCTCAAACCTCCAGATCTCTCCAACAGTTGCTCTTATCCTTGTGCATTTTTAGCTAATGACCTTACTGCTATTTCCACTGGCGGGATAGACAAAAATCAAGAATGACCCACCTCCTCTTCCCATAATGAGCTCTTCACAATACTGGTCATCTTCCCTGCTGCTCTCATGGAGGGACTATTTTTGCTTCTTTCTGAGACATGCCCCTTGCATATTTGCACATATGCACAAAACAACATTCTTCAAGTCTCTGTCCTGTTGGGTTAAAGTTAAATCTGTTTATTTAAAAACAGGCTAGGAAACAGCATTTTTTCCCCCTTACCAATCATAGTTTTACCTATGGTTTGTTTTTAATCTTACATGTACATTTATTTTTAACTAAGATAAACTTGGATAAGCAGATCACATTTTCCCTTTTAAAGAAAATTTGGATAATCGAAAGTTTTCTTGATTTTGATAAATAAAATTCAAAGTAGTACCTCCTTTTTCAGATGAAATAATGGTTTTTACTGGATTTCCCAAGATCAGTCATGTTAATTCTATGTGATCAATGAAAAGCTATGGCTCTTATAGAAAAAGCAAAGCCTAAACAGCAAGATCAAATCATCTATAGTTCAAATTTATAATACCTGGCACTGTGGAGGTACAATAAAAATTTGCTGAATGTTGACTATTAAATGTCCTGCCAACTTTGACAGCAGGAACTATGATTTTCCACTCAGTTATACCCAGTATTGTGAATGGTGTCTAGTGTAGCCATAGACAATAAGTATTCATTGAATAAATTTGCCAAACTTCAGTGGTATAAGCTTAGTATATCTACTAACTAATAACTCCTAAGCCACACCATGTCTTTAAACATTGAAATTCGATGTGTGCGGAGGTGTTTCAGGTCATGTTTTGCCCTTATATGCTCAGGTTATAAACAGGGTAAAAATATAAGCTAATTCCTGAAGATGTAATGTACACCAAAGTGACTATAGTTAACGACACTATATTGTATATTTGAAAATTGCTAAGTGAGTAAATTAAAGTTTCTCATTACAAGAAAAAAATTGTAATTGTGTGTAGTAATGGATGTTAACTAAATTTTCATGGTAATTATTTCACAATATGTGCAAATAGCAATCATTATATGATACACCTAAAACCAATAAAATGTCTTGTGTCAATGTTGTCTCAATTACATTTTTTTTTAAATTTAAAAAGTCTTTTGACCTTAGCTATGGATGAAAATTAGTTAATATTCTTTATTCATTTTAAGAGGAACACTTAATATGAAAATTAAATTTTTGTCCATTATTTGCTATTTCTACACATAGTCAAAGCTAAGAATCAAAATTAAAAACTTCGATTAAACAATGGGGTATTTTGATCTTGCTTTGCCACTATCTTAAGAAAATCTTTTATTTTCCCAGATGTGGTGTCTTTCCCCCTTAAAACTGCATCTAGAGAGATATTGTGATTTTTGCCACAGATTATTAAATGGGATAGTCTTGTCTGTACTTTTCTTAACTCTCCCACTCCTGGTTTCTTTAGTGAGAGATGATTCTGAGGAGGGAAAATGGACAGAGAGGAAGACCCGAGTCTCACCAGTGTTATTTCCAGTAGTTATTTATCCAGAGTATTTTCTCTGGGTTTTATGAATAATTTCAGGAAATCTCTAATTCCTGATATTATTATTGTTACTAATGTTGTAAAGGCCAGCTACACTGTCACAGTCAAATTTTAACATTTTTCCCTCTCCTCCTAGCTTTAGCAAAAGACAGCCCCCAAATAGAGCCTGGACTGCTTACAGCTGAATCAGTTTCTTGGAAATCTCTGAAGTCCCGGGAACTTGTTACAAAGATTCATACATATGCTACTAAGGCTACAGTGGTTCGCCTGCCTGTTGGGTATGGAGTGACTTCATTTTTCCCATATGAAGAATTTTTTGAAGCCTTGTAAACCACTGGCTACCAAATAAGTAAACAATATGGGACCTAGAATATTGTCTCCTGAAGTGATTTTGTAAGAAACAGAGCTATCACTAAGATTCTTGAGAAAAATAATTCCATGAACAAAGAAATTGAAGAAATGCTGTTCAGTGAATCTCCTTTTGGAATACTCATGATTGTCAAAGTCTGGTAATTTCTTAAGGAAGAATATAGTTTAGGAGCACTGAGGGTGGCTCAGTCGTTAAGCATCTGCCTTCAGCTCAGGTCATGATCCCAGGGTCCTGGGATCAAGCCTGGCAATGGGCTTCCTGCTCCGTGGGAAGCCTGCTTCTCCCCACTTTCCCTGCTTTGTGTTCTCTCTCTCGCTCTCTCTCTCTCTCTGTCAAATAAATAAATAAAATCTTAAAAAAAAAAAGAAAGAATATGGTTTAAAATATCATTTCTTAAAATTCATTTATTAAACAATCCCTTTTGTTTTCTGGTAAATCTTATATCCCTTGGTAAGAACTATGATTTTATTTGAAACCAGATTGACAAACATAGCATTTTTCCCCCTATGGTTTCTATATTTTTAACCTGTGGTTTGCTTTTAATCTTACCTATCGTTTTATTTTTAATTAAGATAAATTTGACTGAGGTAACATTTTCCATTTTAAAGAAAATATGCATAGTTGTAGCTTTCTTGATTTTGAAAACTAAAATTCAAAACATTACTTCCTATTTCAGATGAAATAAATATTTTTACTGGATTTCCTAAGATCAATCATGTTAATTCTATGTAATCAGTGAAAAGCTACAGCTCTTATAGAAAAAGCAAAGTCTACACAGCAAAATCAAATGTTAAAATAATGTGTGGCAAGCACCCAGTATTCCTAGAAAATAATAAATTTTAGAACTTCAGAGTTTCTCACTTCTACCCTAAAATCTTTGTCATAGAGAGACTTTCCCAGAAGTCATTATTTTGTCTGAGTGCTCATCCATCACAACAACCAAAAACAGGGAATTAATAAAGAACCTTCTTATATATATTCAAGTGTTTCCCCCAGGACCTAATCTATCTGCGTGAGTGTTTTAAGAATGTTCCAAGTGCTCAGTAACTGAGGAGAAATGAGCATTGCTGCTCTCAGTGATACCACAACCTGGTAGGAGAAGCACAAACAACATAGGTGAAATGACACATTTGTGAGGAAATGACTATGAAATGAATCTGAAATCTACAAAGCCTTAAGCACCATGAATTATTGTTAGGGAAAAATTGAGACTCATCTCCTGGGATGTGACTGCAGTGTATTACAGAGATCTCCCTCATGGTCAAGCTCATCATTTAGTATAACTATTTTCTGTCCTATGTAATTAATGCAATTATATCCCATGACCTCTGATGATTCTTTCAGAATGAAAATTCAAAGGTCTTTATCCCATCTGTGTTAAAAAATTCAACTTACTAATGTTTGACTTCATTTGAACACAGAGTGTCATCAAGCAATTAACAGAGGCTAGAACTACAACAAAGGAGCCCATTGGTCCTTATATATTTTCCATTGTCTTTAGGAGACATATGCTGCTCTTCACTGCATACTCCCCAGTAGGACATTCCATACACATCTGCAGCATGGTGACTTTTGTCGTTGGAGATGAAGATGTTGTGCTACCCCACTTTGAGCCCGTAAGTATTTAAGCAACCATGATTTTGTGTGTGTGTGTGTGTGTGTGTGTGTGTTTCCAAAGACTTGGAACTAAATCATATTCCTTACCCATTTTTCTTTTTACCTTTTAAAACTGTTAATTAAGAATTAAGAACTAAGAATTTTAAGAAACTCCTCCCAAATGTATTTATGTATAATAAATGGTCTAAATTCTGTAGAGATACAAATAAAATAATTTTAGATTTTCTCCAACTGCCTTCACCTCTGCTCTGTGGAATTCCCTGTCACATCCACATTTTTGGTAGATCCCATAGTATATTGGTTATTTGGGATGTCTAGAGGGTCAGTACAGACCTTTTCATTAAAGTTTAAAATTGTGGTATCATATCGTTCTTGTACCCCTTCATTGACCTAAGGAATTTGAAGTGTTTGACTCTGGAATTCAGGGAGAGAGGATCCATGGATAATTCTGTCATTCTTATTCATCTCTTCTTCTGGATTATCCAGTTTGTCTCTTTCTTTAGGCGACTTAACTTTATAAATGTTTAGTTATTTTAGTCTGCGAACTCATCTTTCCCTGGGGTTATCAGTTCCTCCATCTTGTAAAAATTACTGGGCCCGAAAACCAGGCCCTATTATTCTTCAGTTCTAATGAAGAAACAAGAGATAGACTAGTCCAAGAGCAGAGAGACAGAAACTCCTCAGAGCCATACATGATCACTCCCAGTGCTGTCATTAAACCAATTTTTCTGGTCATGGCTTCACCTCAGGGAGAAACACCATTGAGAAGATGCTTTCTCTAGGCTTTCAGAGGCTGGGGTAGAAGGTAATAGAATGGCAAATGCATTAAGGGGGCAATTCAGTTGCATCTGTCTTCATCCGGTCACCCCAGCAGGGTATCTGTACCATCCAGGCATAGCTGCTAGGCCATTCCTCACAATTTCTGCAGGGAACCAAGGAGCAATGATGGCACCATGGTGCACCCTAGGAAGGAACGAAAACACCTCACAATTTCACCCTCTTCATGTTGTCTCAAAGCACCCTCTGCTTTGGGTAGCTCCTCCTCTAGCCACCAACTACCCACTACAAACCGATCAAAATAATCTGTAAACTCCTTTTCCTCTCGGGGTTCTCTTCTTCTCTCTCTCTCTCTCCTCCTCTCTCTTTCTCTGCCCCCCCACCCCACACTGACTCTCTTTTTGATTTTGACCTACAGATTTGCAATTTGACATCCAATTTCTTTTTTCCATCAGCTTTATTGAGATAAAATAGGCAAATAAAATCATAAGTTATACAAACTGTACATTGTGGTCATGTGATATACATAAACATTGTGAAAGGATGCCCACCATCTAGTTAATTAACACAACCATCACCTCTCATACTTATCTTTTTGTTGTTAACAACATTTTTTTTTTTTGGGGGGTGACATTTGAGTTCTGGTCTCTTAACAAATACCAATTATACAATACGGTGTTATCAACTGTAGTCACTATGGTTTGCATGTAGATCTTCAGACCTTGTTCATCTTGTAGTTGAAGGTGCATATCCTTTCATGAACTGCTCATTTTACCCACTTCATAGCCCATGACAACCACTTTTCTACCCTCTGTTTTTGAGTTTGTTTTTAAATATTCCACACATAAATGATACTGTGCAGTGTTTGTTTTTCTCTGTCTGGTTTATTTCACTTAGCATAATGCCTTCAAAGTCTATCTATCCATGTTGTCACAAATGGCAGGATTTCCTTCTTTCTCATGGCTAAATAATATTCCGTTGTCTCTGTGTGTTTGTGTGTGTATAAGGTATAAATATATAAAATATATATGTGTACATATTATACATATATACTATAGCTATACATATATATAGTTATGTGTAACAGATATATATATATACACACACTACATATGTATTTATATATGCACACACATCTATCTATACACACACACATATTACATCTTCTCTATCCATTTATCCACTGATGGACACTTAGGTTGTTTCCATGTCCTAGCTAGTATATATAATGCTACAGTGAATATGGGGATGCAGATATGTTTTCAATGTCCTGTTTTCATTTTCTTTGGCTATATACCCAAAGTAAGATTGCTAGAATAGATGATAGTTCTATTTTAAATTTTTTGAGGAACTTCCATACTGTTTTCCATATCCCTATCCCCTTTTTGCATTCATTTTCTCCTCAGAGTCAGTAGCAGGAGGGAGCCAGAAGCAAGAGGGAGCCAGTTCGTCCTATTATCTTTTTACCTTTTTCACCCTCTTATCTTTTTAATCTTTATCACTCTCTCCCTGAACTCTTCTCTGCCCATCAGTTCTCCAATCCCACACAATTGTGTCAAAGTAATTCCTAGATGTCCTTGGGACTAAGTCTAGGTATCAATACTCTGGAGAAATTTCCTCTGGCTCCCAGTATGAGGTAGGTGTCCTTCCCATGTGTCCCCACTACAGCAGGAATTATAACCCTTGTTTTATATCTTTGAGATCATAGACCCTAGGAAAATGCCTTGATCAAGCAAGGGCTTCATAAATAACTATTGAATCAACTATATAGAAGAGGTTTAATATACTAACAGAAATTAAATTTGTATAAGCTTAATTGCACTTAAATAAAAATGAAAAAGAAAGTAAGGCTGGCTGCTATGCTTTGTCTTCACAGGAGAGCTACCGATTCATAGAGCAGTCTCTAACAATTTTGAAAGCTGTTGGAAATGTGATTGCTAGTTTCAAAGATAAGGGTAAACTCTCTGTGGCTATGAAGGATTTACAAGCGGCTCACTACCCTGTACCCCTCCACAATAAAGAACTAACTACACAGCACTGCAGGGTAAGCACATCCAAGTTATGATGTTTCTAGAAGGATAGTTTCCATTTGACAAAAAAAAATATATCTTATAGTAGGTGATCTTCAAAATTTAGCCTTTAAAAAAGACTTACATACATTTCACAGAGAAAGAGAAAGAACTTGCAATAGTAAGTTTTTGAAAGAGGTGTCTAAGAAAAAGGTAGGGAAATAGTTTCTTCTTTTATTTTCCATAGAGAGAATTAAGCCTTTCTTTTGTAATTTGTATTTGCCCTTATAGTATCTTGTTTTCTATCTGGCAACTCTACCTGGGACATAGTTCACCCCTAATTGAGAACTGTTCACATACAGCATGAATAATCTGCAAGAAATACCTGCCATGATTTACTCTTCAACCAATCTGATTTCCCCCCTTAAGTGAATTCTGTTATCAATCCACTCTTCAAGGTGATGGTTCTAGATGGCTTAAGGTGGTATTCCCAAACCTTAAAAATAAGCAAATAATTAAATCATCATAGGACTAGAAAGTTGTGGTCTCCATTGCTACATCTGGCCCTGAAGCCATAGTTGGTATTCAAACATCACTCTCCTCTACCAACCATTCTAGAGTTCCCCTTTCTTCCATCCAAAGCTTCAGCTGTTCTTGTTGCCTGGTGGGTGACCTAGACTTTTAATCCTGATGAGCCCAAGACCTTGATTGCCTTACTCTTTTCAGGCTGTGATTAATCATTTACTGCGGAAGCACCAAGAAGTGTCCCAGTGAATTCAAACATAATTCTTCTTGTCCCCATTATGGAGTAGAAACCCTAGTACTTCATGACAGTCAGGGTAAATTCTCCCCACACAACATTGTATTTTTTCCTTTTCTCCTATTCACATACCAGAATGAGAAGCTCAAAGCAACCAGGCCTATATCATAACTTAGGTTTATTGTAAATCATAACACAATGCCTGATGGAAACATCCGTTGCCTCCCATCCCCAGGAATTGGGTCCTCCAATTTAGCAAACTGCCTGTTGGGACAGAGAATACTAATTATTGCAAATGGACCACTGGAAATAATGGTGAGAGAGGTCAATCTTACTTCTAATTTTTGAATCCCTGTGTGTCTTAGCTTTTACAGATACAGCACTGCATGTTGGTTTTTGGTTCTATTCATGTATACCATGCCCTGGAAGATATCATGTCAGTTCTACAAGATGTCATCCCTAGGATGGCCTCTTAGCTGAGACTTTTATATGCCATTTCAATTTACCAGGAATTTTGTCAGTTCCTTCTGTAGTATATATTAGGCCCATTGAGTTCGAGACATTCTCCAGTGGTTAAATCTTCTCTGTATAATATGACCTTGCTCCAAGGGGATGTTAGGTTGGATCTAATGTTTTTAAATCAGACTTTCCATAACCCCTTGGACAATGATACTGGCAGAGGCACCAAAGAAAGAGAAAGCAAACTCATATTTGAGGTAAGTGTCAATGCTAGGAAGGACAAATGGAGACAGGAAGTATTATGTCTGAATTTGCTGGGACATTTCTTGGTGCTTCTGTACCCCCTTGATAGAAGCACACTGAAATAAATTTGCCACCACACAGCTGACTGGAATCCCCGGAGGATGATATTGTATTAAAGTTCCTGCTACTGACAGATTGCTAAGCCTGGGTAAAAGAGAGCCCAAACTATTGGAACCATTCGCAGTTCTTGTCCCTGCCACCCAGATTACTTGTGCATGAATCTGCTGTCGCTAGGCCAGATCTAATATGTAAAGACCTTTGTGCATGCTTCATTTACACAAAAGGGAGCTATTTTGGTAATGAAATATTTTAAATTTTTGAATACTTTTACATTTTTATATTACAAAGTTATGTGACTTTTTTTTAGAGCCACATCCCATAAATCAATAAATTTCAAATTTTGTCTACCATAAACAATTCCAGATGGGTCATGTAAGTATACCACAGATAAGGACTCTCTCACTAGTGAATAATACTAGTGTGTTTTCTGGGAGGTCTTTCATTAGCATGTTTATAACACAATTGGACAAGGTGATCTTTCTTTGTTTCCCACGGTGCTCAAATCTCCTAGAGATCTTTCTTTTGCTTTGGATTCTGCTCAAACCTGATGGCCTTCTAAGTCATTTAGTAAATGATTGGAATAATATTCCCCAAAGCAGAATATTTTATCAGCAATTCCAGAGAAGACTATGAAGGACTGGCCTCTTTCTTAATTGTAGTATCTTATCCTTTACCTTAGAAGAGATGTCCCAGCATGCCTAATCCTCTAGACCCCTGAAATCACTGATATGGTGAATCCATGAATCTGTGAGAAGATTATTCCCTACTCTCTAACATGCATGTGTCTTAATCAGGTTGTCAGAGTAATGGCCCCTTCCTGCCCTCAGGTCTGAGTTCACTGCTGTCAACATTCACACAGAACCCAGAGTGATATCCTGTAGAACACCAACATGATCAAGGACACTGAACACTTAAGTGTAAGAGAGTAGGAGGATTAATATAACCAGTTATTTTTCTTATTTTTATCTTAGACGCTGAAATACTTAGAGCATTTTGTTAACATGGCACAAAAAACAAATCTAACTCATTTAAGTCATAACAAGGAGTTAGATGTGCTAATTTATTATAAGGATATAGGGAGGTCTTGGCTCCCAAGGATAGGAAGGACTCAGTGGAGAACTTCAAAGAAGGAATAGATAGCCCTTGGAACATGTCTTCTTCATTTTGTTTTTCTCCTTGTAAACATGTTGTCTCTACTCCTAAATTCATATCATGGAAAAACTGACTCCTGACTTGTATCACTTTCCCATATGAGGCCAGTTTAAAATGTCTTGATCCTGATTTCAAACTATTCAACCAAAGTAACAATGATTTGCTCAGCGTGGGTTAGGTGGTTTCTTGCAGGCTTATCCGCCATTGTCAGTTGATGGGGCAGTTACAAATATAGATTATGAGATTAAGTCCCTGTCTCTAAACATATGGAGAGGGATGAGAAGTAGTCAGAAAATGTGGACTAAGCAGGAAGTACAATAATCATATGTCTTTGAAGAGCACTGTACTTCACCAATTCTAAGAGGCACATTTCTTTTCACACTTTAACATGAGAAGGAAATCAGTGTGTCTTGTAATTGGTGGTTCCTTATAGTCATTGCTGGCCAGGTAGCCTTCAGAATTCTCTGCACACACATGGACATGTTCATAAGGGTTCATACTGTTACTGCTTCAAAAGAAATATGTGTATTGTTTGACAAAGGCCTAATCCTTCTGGGAAGAGAATTAAATGACATTAGAGAGCCTCTGAAAGAAACAAGATAGCAGAAGGATTTTCCCTATACCAGACTGATACCCCTCCCCACCTCCGGGGCCCAGGGAAAAGAGAGAGAAGGAGAAGAGAACGTGGCTAAAAGTCATCACAGATGGTGTCCCAGGCAACTTACATAATCCACCAAGCACATTACTCCCTGTGGACAAATAAGTAGCTAAAAGTAATCCAGCAGCAAGGTGCTGGGCCTTGGTTGGCATTCTCAGTGGAAAGACTGGGTAAATGGAATCTCAGAATTTAAAGACAAAAACTATGAAAATAAAATTGGAAGAAGGAATATGTGTTCTGGTTATGGTCTAAAAACCTTCCATGGGTCTTCTTTGGTAGGATCAGGAGGGAGTCAGCACCAGCACTTACTGACGGGGGTCGGTGGTTTGAGTGAAACCCCAGGGACAAAAGTAGAATGCACTTTAGCCAATGGTGCTTCAAAGCTTGACAATATAAAGGACAAAATTATATAGGAAAACACACATAATAAATATCTTCAAAAAGTGACTTGCAAGAGTAAGAGTTTGAATATGAATGTTTTCAGAATTCTTAACCCAAACTTAGGCAGCTTATTTTATTTTTTCATGTGTGTTCAGTGTGATGAATGATGGAAAATCTCTGTCTAAACAAATCTAAAAGAGCTTTTTCAGTAGGAAGCAAGTATTCATAGATGAAAATAAGAAAGAAATAAAAAATCCAAACAGCATATTTTCTATTTTGGTAGCACATGAAACAATAGTGTGTCTTACAGTGGATGACATTTTAAAACAAATGAAATATAATATTCAATTTGCTTAATTAAGGACACGGGCCATATTTTTCATCTTACACTATATCTCTTTAAACAGTTATATTCTGATTGAGGGTACATTATAAACGTCATAGTGATTAAATTTTATTAAACTAGAAATGGTAAGGTGGTGAGTAATTTTGCTCTCTTCCTGGGTGAGTGAGACTTCAAAATCTTCTGTTATTGTGCATCTGAGAAATACGTATTTTTATTTTTAGAGTATTTAAAGTTCTTTAGAGCCTCTCTGGCCAGGTAATGCTATTTTCTTGGTTTAAAAAAATGTACTAACATATTTTCTCTTTTTCAGGTTTTTCATATTTCTTTATGGCGCTTAATGAAAAAAACTCAGCTAACAAAACCTCCTCCCAACTTTAAATTTGCATTTCGTGCTATGGTTTTGGATTTGGAGTTACTCGATTTCTCCTTAGAAGAGGTTTCTTTAGGTATTGAATAGCTTAGATACTTGTTTGACAAAGGGCTTTCTAGGCTTATAGAAGAGAAATAATTTGTAAAAAGCACAAAGTTTTTGTGGAGTAGGTAGACTAGAGACGTGGAGAATTCAAGCTGTGCTCTGGGAAGCCTAGAGTCTCCAAGGATCTGTCATGTGTCCCCAACTTCCATATTTCCAGGGAAGTCCAGAATTTCCCTGTTCTATTTGTTTCTGCCCTGAAAGACTATGAATGTCGCTAACATTTATGGTATGATTTGAGGAATTCTGGGAAGATCTTCAGATCCAAGTAACTCTCCTTTCCTGCTCTCCCTATGCTATAGTCATGCAATTTTAACATTTTCTTTCAATTTTGAGAGAAAACCCTCACTATTTTCACAGAAGAATTAATAGTAGCTCACTCATGGGTCAATATGTAGTGTTTCCCTTTTCCAGAGTGTTTACATTCTAAAAAAGGGCCACTTGCAGAGCACAATATTAATTATAAAGATAAATCTATCTTTTATTAATTATAAAGATAAATCTATCATTGTGGCACTTTATATGTCAGAGGACTTTAGCAGTTAAAGGCATTGGAAACTGGGGAAAGGATTAAATACTTTAACTTAACCTTCAGTCCAAATTTTTTTTTTCTCTTTCCAGCGGAATGGGTCCATGTTAAATACTCTCTACCAGTGAGTGATAAAGAATATTCTCCCGAGGAAGTAGCAGCAGCGATTAAAATTCAAGCCATGTGGAGAGGGACTTATGTCAGATTGCTTATGAGAGCTAGAACACCAGGTATCATGTTCCAGTTATTTATAAAATAAACTTGTGTATGTAAGAAGGAATATTTGTGTGCTAAGGAAAAACATTTTGGAGTTGTCTTACTTTACTATTGGGCTAATTCTTTGTAACTCTATAAATATTGAAATTCCAGGGCACCTGGGTGGCTCAGTGGGTTAAGCCTCTGCCTTCGGCTCAGGTCATGATCCCAGGGTTCTGGGATGGAGCCCCACGTTGGGGTCTCTGCTTGGCGGGTAGCCTGCTTCCGCCTCTCTCTCTGCCTGCCTCTCTGCCTACTTGTGATCTCTGTCTGTCAAATAAATAAATAAAATCTTAAAAAAAAAATTGAAATTCCTTGAGGTCAGAATGCATGTCAGCACCCTTACTCTCTAGCTCCCAGAATTGACCACAGTACCTGGCACAGAGAAAGCAAAAAGCAAATATGTGCTGGAAGAAAGAATGAAGGAGTCAGTGAAAGATCAGCTGTGTCTTCCCAGTCTGTTGTGAGTCTTAAAACACAGACAGCCCGTCTTTTCCTCCATGTATCTCCAATGCCTAGCAGAATGCTACAGCAGTTAGCTTCAGCTAGGTCATGTATATTTTTATATTTCTAGACCATTTTTCAAAGAAATAAATGAATGAATGGGTAAATGAATGAATGAGCTGAATGAAGGAAGCTTTCATATGTCCACGTAGTATATGTTTAGAGTACACAGAATGTGTTTGCAGTGTATTCTAGCTGTTAAATCAAATTATCAGTGTATTCTATTAAATTATTTAGGTATGTATAATGAACTTTTTGTGAAAAAGGTTATTTTATTTTAGCTTTTTATCAGCTTAAAATAAAACACTGCAGAGGCAAAATTATATTTAATCATTTTCATTCTGCAGTTTTTGTTTCATAAGAAAAGTCTTACCTCCAATAGAATTCTTTCTGAGGGTTTTATTTACTTGAGAGGAGAGAGAGAGAGAGAGAGAGAGAGAGAGAGCGCTTGCAAATGCACAAGTCAGGGGAAAGGGAGAGGGAGGAGCAGACAATCCCCTGAGCAGGGAGCCCAACTCTGGGCTCCATCTGGGGACTCTGAGATCATGACCTGAGCTGAAGGCAGACATTTAACTGACTGAGACACCCAGATGCACCATCCAGTAGAATTCTTTGAATGTACTGAAACATTTTGTTGTAAAGTGTCTTTATTTGAAGTATTTAATGGGAATAATCAAAATGTCCATCTCAGCAGGGAAAACTACAGATACACAAATGTAAAGTTAATTAACTATATTGTATAATTGTGTGTGAGAAAAATGTTACTGTTGCTTGATTTTGCTATTATTCTATTAGAAAAAGTAAAGATAGATTTATCATATTAAATATATAGTAAAATATATCTTTTGTCCACATATGCTGTAAAAATTATATTTAAACAATGACTTTCTTTCTCTTTTGAGACATAAAAACTTGAACAACTTAATAATGTTTTAATAATTAATAATATATGCATTTCTTTCACTTAAGGCTTATGTATTGTGTGCACAGCACTGTTCTAAATTCTGACTCTGTTGAAGTCAGGTAAACTGACAGTTTCTGCTTTGATGAATCTTGTGTTCTAGTGGTGATAGACATACAATAGACAAGTAAATATATTAAGATATCAATTTCAGATGCTAGTAAGTGTTATGAAGAAATTACAATAGGATAATTTGGGGAAAAGTCAGTTTCTGACATGTTAAATTTGAGCCAGCTAGTATGTATTTGCATTTTTCTTACCGTTTTCATTTACTCTGGAACAAATGCGGATTATGGGATTGAGCTTTAGGTGGGATCCCATTAGCCATTGTTTTTTAGAAAAATTGGATGAATTTTTTTTTCTGTCGTTAAAAACTTTCATAAGGAACTTTTGGTGACAAAAGATCTCCTCATGTAAACTCTTTGATGAGACTCTTCAATTAGATCAAGGAACACTGTGATTTTTAAACTGAAGATGAAGGGAAACAGCACAAATTGATGAGCAGAGCTGTTGACTGGAAGTTTATAACTTTATATTTTAGCAAAATTTTGCTGCTAATAAAGCCTGTGGCTTTGGATACCACCTTGTAAATTTCAGCTTCTTTATCTGTAAAAGGAGAGCTTTGAACAAGATGATCTTTCAGGCATCTTGCAGTTTTTATGTTGCTATTTTTAATTACTATTTTTAGATACAATAGAAAATGCCAGTGTTGCAGATACTCTTCAAAAAGTTTGGAGTATATTGGAACCGAATATAGAACAGTATGCAGTTTCTCTCTTAAGGTAAAGCAGTATAATGAAGTTTCTTATTATAGTATCTTGGTATCCTTCAAGTTCCTGTTCAAGTGCTAACATGTTCATTGAGTGTTCCTAATCACCACAGTGAGAAACCACTTCTTCCGAACTTCCACAATATTTTATCTGAAGCATTCCTATGGTACTTGTTGCTTTTGATTTATTGTAATTATACTTAACTAAGGTTCTAAACAGAAAACCTCTGAGAAGCAGAGCAAAGTTGCCTGAAGTCTTATGGTACTGATGTGACCACAGTCAGAGTTGAGGACCTACTAGGGGAGGGGACTCCAGCAAATAATTAAACTTGTCAGTTGAGGGGCGCCTGGGTGGTTCAGTGGGTTAAAGCCTCTGCCTTCGGCTCAGGTCATGATCCCAGGGTCCTGGGATCCAGCCCTGCATCGGGCTCTCTGCTCAGCAGGGAGCCTGCTTCCTCCACTCTCTCTCTCTGCCTGCCTCTCTGTCTACTTATGATCTCTGTCTGTCAAATAAATAAATAAAAAATTGTCAGTTGAAATCTCTGAACAGTAACAATCTAGAAACGGGTAAACTGGAAGTAGACTGAGCCTCAGCAAAACTGTACTGTAGCCACAAACCATATCTGAGCAACAGGATAACTTGAACAAAACTAAGATATTATAAATTATAAATTACTTATATATATATGTGTATATCTATCTATCTATCTATCTATATGCACATACAGACATATATAAAAGAAGCAAAGCCTCTGGTGATGTTGGAGTTAGCAAGCAAAATCTCAAAACCTGATTGTATTGGTAATGCCAAAGAAAATAAAGAGTAAGAAGAATTGGATCAAAATTTTAGATGAATAAAGCAGAGTCAAATGGAAATTACATAAATGATGATTTTAACAACTATATTAAAGATTTACTTGTAGATTTAACAGCAGATTAGTCAGAACAGAAGAAGATTGGTGAACTTGGAGATAGGTCAATAGAAAAGTATCCAAACTGAAACCTAGGAGAAAATGAATGGGAAGTAAGAAAGGAGCATAAGGGACATATGGAATATGCTCAAAAAGTCCAAATATCATCACTATAGCTCTGGACTATAAAAAGATAATAACTGAGAACTTTCCAAAACTGGTAAAACGTATCAACTCATGTTCTCAGGAGACTGCAAGCCAACTCCATGCAGAAAGGTTACAAAGAAAAGTATTCCTCGACTCACTGCAGTCAAACTACTGAAAAAAAAAAAAAAAAAAAAGACCAAAAGAAAAACCTTCAAATCAGCCAGAAAAATAATGCATATTATCTTCAAAGGGGAATCAACAAATAGCTATATACAAAAGTAAATTCATGACCTAAAGCAATGAAAAAAGTAGATGTTAGGTATAAGTTTTTAAAGAGTTCTAAGGTTATAGCATTATGCAGAAATGGTAAAAGTAATAATTTAGATGAAATGCTAACAGAGGAGGAATGCATGATACCCTTTCTAGCAATATACTAATGAATTTAGGAAGAAATAAGATTAATCTCACAAATCTTCTAGAGAACAGAAAAAGAAGAAACACTAACCAATTCATAATCTTGATTTAAAAAATTCAACAAGGTCAGTAAAAAAATGAAATTGCAAACCAATCACCTTCTTCAAATTGCAAACCAATCACCCTTTGAATAGATGCAAAAAATATGTAATAAAACATTCAAAAATTAACATTAGAATTAAATAAAAAGGAAAATGCCTTATAATTCAATGGGCCTCTCATTCCCAGAGATATAATGTTGGTTTAAGGTTAGAAAATTTATCATTTTAAGTCAGTATAATAACAGAAAAGCAAAAATGATTTAATCCTCCAGATAGATTCAGTAAAAACATTTGATAGGATTTAACATTAATTCAAAATTATTTATTTTCTTTTGTTTTTAGAAAACTTGGAGTTTTAGAGAAGTCTTTCATTAATACGTTATTGGTATCTGGTATTTTCAAGACTTAACTACAAACATGATTAGTGGTGAAATTTTGAAAGCATTTTCCTGGGTTTAGAAATGAGACAAAAATGTCTGCCTGATAAGTTCCATTCACAATAACCCTGGAATAATTTTGAGACAAAGTGTCAATAAAACAAAATAAAAGTCATTAGGATTTGAAGGGAAAAATAAAACCACCACTGTTTACAGACAATATGAGTGTATAAGTAGAAAATATTTTAAAATATGCAGAAAAATTATTAGAGTTAATAAGAGAATTAAGAAAAGTTGCTGGAGACAAGGTCAATATAAAATAACAAGTGGATTTCTACTTATAAGCAACAGACAAATAAAAAATTATATATGAAAATATATCAAAATGTAAAATAACCTTAAAAATAATGAAAAAAATCATGATGAACCAAATATCAAAATTTTAAACATGGGGGAAATTGAAATCTATACAGACCTCTAATACAGAACAATTTTCTATGGCCATTATGGCTTCCATCCCAGCTAATTCCCATAGACGTTATACAAAAGACCCTAGATTGCTGGTGCTACTGAAGCTAGATCCAGTTCCTGGCCATGGAAGGAAAAGAACCTAGAGTCTCTCTCACATGACTTCCATCATGCTCTGAAATATGCCACAGCCTTCCAGGGGCAAACACGGAGAAATTTCACTCCATAATTCTTTTAACCAGTTGCACATAACACTCTCTTATGGGCCAGAAATCATGCAGAAGGAAAACTGACATTCTCCCCTCAATCATGGCCTTAGTTTTTTGTTTTAATCCTTTTTTACAAATCCATTCCTTACTTTAAACTCTATTCTACTATCAATTCCCACGACAATTCCAGACCTTGAGTGGACCTCACCCAGATTCATTGCTACTTTGCCTCTTCCTGTTTTCCTATCCTTGTAGTTTGAGCTTTGGTGCTGATTTCCCACCTCTAAACTGTAATTACTTTCTTGATCATGAATTAAGTTCCCCTTTGATTAAGAACTTCAGATAACTTTAAAGACCTTTGAGAGATATCTTTCATGGTTGACCTGCAATGGGCTCCCTGAACTGAGTGCCATCCACTATGAATTCCATAGCCTTTGATCAAGGACTCAATCCAGCCAACAACAGACTGTGATACTTGTGTTATTTTTGCCTACTTCTTTTTTTGTAAATAAAAACTTATTTTAAAAGTTGCCTTTGTCATTGGAACTTCATTTATTTTTACATTTCTAGACTAATGTTTAAAAGCAAGTGCAAGTCTATTGAATCTTATCCATGCTATCAAGATGAGGAAACTAAGATTGTTTTTGCTGACTATACTGTGACTTATGCAGACCAGCTACCAAATAGTTGGTTTATAGTATTCAGGTGAGGCTATCATAAATCCGTATCTGATGTCATCTTTAAATAGCATGCAATAGTCATATGTGTAGAGTTTTATTTATGGTAGTAGTGAAAATATGAATTTACAGATTTTCACAACTTAACACTTCTTCCCCATCTGTTATGCATAAATGAGATATTATAGGAATTTTATCCATATTTCTTTAAATAAAATATGAAGAATGTGAAACTTATTAGTATTTTTATGAGTATAATAAACAAAATAAATTGATGTGTTACCAGTATAGAAAGAAATTATTTAATTTTCAAGCAATATCATATTAGGTAAAAGTCATGAATTACTTATAAAATGGGATTTCTTAAAGGGCTTGCATTTATATTACAAAATAGTATACTAATAATTAAAAAAACAATGTGTATACCGTGTAGTTATTTGAAATTTTAGACTTTTCTCTTTCTTGCCGAAACCAAATTTCAAACTTTCTTTATGATTCACCTCAAGATGAAGTTCATTCTTTTTAATTACAGAGAAACATTTTTGGTTCCTCAAGATATGATTTTGGTTCCCAAAGTATATACTACACTTCCAGTCTGCATGCTCCACGTTGTTAATAATGACACAATGGAACAAGTGCCAAAGGTATTCCAAAGAGTGGTGCCTTATCATTATACCAAGAATAAGGTATGTGTAAAGTTTATTCTCCCCATATGTTAGATTGGCAGTGAGAAGCCAGCACCTTCGTAAGAGTCCAGGAGCAGGTAGAGCGGATGTGATTTTCAACCTATTTAACAGAGGAATAGGGTCCTGGTCTTCTTCTGTAGAAGTCCCATTTATCTGACAGCCCAAGGTACTTAATTTGAGTGCTAGAACATTCATCTCTCAGCTCTTTTTTTTCTTTCTCTGTGAAGAAAATATGACAAAAGGAAAGCATTGGAAATTCCTATTAAAATCATAAAATCATACAAATCCTTAAAATGGAAATGGAGGTGAAGGTGTACTGATTTAGTCCAATTCTTCAATCAAATTAGCTGGTTGTCTCAGTTTCCCACTGGGTTTTTATTCCATCCCTAAATATTTCAGAAGATTGTGCTTACATGGGCACTGGTCACCCACTACCCCCAGTCTTTTCTAGGGCTACACAGATTCCTTAAAAAACACTTGGTGCATTATTCCTGAAGCATGATAGACCTTGATTTCTGATGATCCCTCTCAAATCATGTTGCCTTTATATTTGTATCTCAAATTTGTGTTTTTGATTATTTCCTCTAAGAGGGGAAGCATAACAAAAGGGTGTATACACCCACACTGGAAACTGGGAGATTTGTTTTGGCTCTGATTTCACTCTTTCATTCTTTACCTATATGGCTTTGAATCTTTTCATTTTTCTCTTTGAGCTATGGTTGTAATTGATTTTCAAAGTTCATTTCAGCCCATGATTCTGTGTATTACTTTGCACACATTAAGACATACTTATCTAATAAATACTGGTTTATAGGAATGAATGATAAATTTTTAAAAACATTAACTCCACAAAAAACCCAATTGCTCTTTTGAGTTGCTTAAGAGGTTTTTTAAAATTGAAATTTAAAATTTTTTTAAGGCTTAGAGGGGTTTTGGGACACCTGGATGACTCAGTCAGTTAAGCCTCTGCTTTTGGCTTAGGGTCATGGGAGCCAGCCCCACGTTGAGCTTCCTGCTCTGTAGAAAGCCTGCTTCTCCCTCTCCCTCTGCCTGCTGCTCCCTCTGTTTGTGCTATCTCTCTCTCAAATAAAGAAAATCTTCTTAAAAAAAAAAAAAAAGCCTTCGAAGAGTTTTAAGACTTCATTGCAACTCTTAGTAGCAATAAATGAGAGCAGTTTTAGCTTCGCAGCAAAACTGGGAGGAAAATACAGAGATTTCCCATATACACCCTGCTCCCACATGTGCACAGCCTCTACCGTTATTGACAAGCCCCACCAGAGTGGCACACTTATTATGTTGATCATCCTACCTTGAAACATTATAATCCCCCAAAGTCCATAGTTTATATTATGGTTCACTGTTGGTGGTGTACATGCTATGGGTTTGGATGGATGTAAAATGACATGTGTCTGTTATCATGGTATCATAAAGAGTGTTTTTATAGTCCTAAAAAATCCTCTGTGGACTCTTAATCTCACAAAACAAACTGAGGGTTGCCGGAGGGGAGGGAGCTAGGGAGAGGGTGGTTGGGTTATGGACATTGGGAAAGGTATGTGCTATGGTGAGTGCTGTGAAGTGTGTAAACTTGGTGATTCACAGACCTGTACCCCTGGGGCTAATCATACATTATATGTTAATAAAAAATTAAAAAGAAAAAAGAAATGTGCTTATAAGAGTAAAAAAAAAAAAATCCTCTGTGATCCACCTATGTATTCCTCCTCCCCCTCCCCCTGACCTTTTGTGTGTCTCCATAGTTTTGTCTTTTCCAGAATGTGGTAAAGTTGGAATCATATAGTGTGTAATCTTTTCAGATTGGTTTCTTTCACTAAAAAACATACATTTAAGATTTTTCCATGTCTATTTGTGGCTTAATAGCTCATTTCTTTTTAATAATAATATTCCACTGCTGCTTGTATCAAAGTTCATCTGCCTATTCACCTACCGAAGGACATCTTGGTTGCTTCCAAGTCATGGTAATTATGAACAAAGCACCTACAAATGTCTGTGTGCAAGTTTTTGTGCGGACATAAATTTTTGACATAAATACCAAGGAGCACTGTTGCTGGACTGTATAATAAGAATATGTGTAGTTTTGTAAGAAACCACCAAACTGTCCTTCAAAGTGTCTGTACCATTTTTCATTCCAACCAGCAGTGAATGAGAGTTCCTGATGCTCTGTATCCTCATTAGCATTCGGTATTTCCAGTGTTACAGATTGGGGCTATTCTAATAGGAATGTAGTTGTATCTCATGGTGGTTTGAGTTTCTCTGATAATATACAATATGAAACATCTTTTTGTCTGCCTATTTGCTGTCTGTATATCTTTTCTGGTGAGAAGTCTGTTAAAAGTTTTAACTAGGTTTTTTGTTTTCTTATTGTTGAGTTTTAGGAGTTTTTGCATATTTTGGGTAACAGTCCTTTATTATATGTGTCTTTTGCAAATATGTAAGTATTCAGGAATAAATTACTCAGGAGCCTTGCAGTTGTTTAGAATAGTCAGGTTCTCTCTTAAAACTCTATCCCTGGTTTAGCTTTAGACTTTCACTTATCGATAGCTATCCCACCATTTTATAACACTTTTTTTCCCTCTCAAACTTTTTCTCGGAGCCTAGACAAACACAAAATCAGAGTCATGTCATTTTATTTTGCTTCTGAATGCATTAGTACCACAAGCTCAAAAAATAATGAGAATTGCAATAAATCTGTGCATTATGCAAGTAAAAATACTTTAGCATATATGAATTTATCTTCCTTTATTTCCTTCCCCAAAAATAATGTTAAAAGGTCTTTATTGGTGCTGTAATTCTCATCTCATTATGGGTATTGAAATTCTGGGTAATTTTCTTAGATGTTTATTGCAATGTGTTGAATTCATTCTGTCTTATATATTTTTACTTTTTATTTCTGGAAATCTAAACACATCAGAGAGTTTCCTTTGCATCAGAATTGACTGGAATACAAATCTGTATTTTTCTTCCTTATTAGAAGTGTCTGGAATTACAAACTCAGAATTACTTTGAACTTTTGTATCTCATTATGATATCATGCTCTTGCTTCACTGACATTTTTGCCAGATGGATATCCAATTATATAGAACCAAGTTATTACCCACTATGATATTATCCCAGGTTACTTAGCTGCTTCTTTTCCCCAACCTAAAGAGTTCATCTCCATACTCCTATATGGGTTCCCTGGAACCAGATCTGTTGTTAACTTGATAGCTTTATCTGTCAGTTGTCATCCTGAGGGAATTACATTTCCATAAATGCTTCTGTTCTTCTCATCTTATATTTAAAAAACAGGGACATTTCTTAGGAAGTTATTGAGCTACTGCAGGGTGATGCAGTGATAAAAATCTACCTTAGCCAACATTAGCAGAATTGGAAGAAAATTTAACTATCATATGTCAGAGTTACACACTTTGTGTTATAGCTTGAGAACCACACAAACAAAAGTGTTAGAGTTACTAATTTTCTATGAAAACGTGTAAGATCCTCTATGAGGAATTTCCGAAATGTAATGCTAATGATTTTCTTTTATCAAGAAATCTTGGGATTTTCATGTATATCAAGATAATAAAGCATTTTACTACTGTGAAGCCATGTGTTGTACCTTTGAGAGATCAGTAACAGTAAGCCTTACTTCTGTCTAATTCTCTTTCCTCTAGAAAGGCTACACATTTGTGGCTGAAGCATTTACTGGTGACACATACGTACCATCCTCACGGTGGAAACTGCGCATCATTGGGTCCTGTAATCCACTCCCATGCCTATCTCGAGAGTCTCCATGCAACACTTTTACTATAAAGGAAATCAGAGATTACTACATACCCAATGATAAGAAAATTTTATTCAGGTATAAGTATATGACAGAAGGGAAATGCCCCAAATTGGCATTTTTTGTCACCAGTTGGGTGCTAACACGTTGTCCTTCACTAACTGTGTCTACAGAGGTTGGACCTCTAGATAACGCACAGGGCTCAGGGTTTGACCACACTTAACTATTAATATATGACTATATTATTGAGGAAGTAAGGGTCACCTGTAATCAAACAACCTAGAAACAATCACTGTTAGTATCTTGTTATATTTTCTTATGGTGTTTTTTCCTAGTCACAGATTAACATTATTGAAATCATAACATAATTAGTTTTATAATCTGACCTTTTTACTTAACATTATGGTGTGTACATTTCCCAGTGCCGTTAAGGCATTTTGTGAACTCTTTTCATAATTACGTGGTAATCATTTGTAGGAAAATACAACAATTTACTGATTATTTTTTGTTACAAACTTCCCATTTCTACTTTTACTGTAGTATTAATAGAGATTTGATAGGTGTACTTTATTGTAAATATTAAAGTAAATTCTTGATTATTGTCTAAAGATTTATTATTTTAAAGAGATTATATGTTTTAAAGATTCCATATATATTGGTAAATTTGTTTTCTAAAGAAACACCTAAGTCTATTTGACAATATATGTACAAATATAATTTTCTGCATTCTGGCTAGTTTTCCCCTCTTCTCCTTTTGCCAATCCTCCTGCTTGTGTTCCCTCTCTCTCTATGTCTCTCTCTGTCAATATATACAGTATATACCCAACATTTGTTTTTGTTTTTATATTTGTTTATATATTTTATATGTAGGTAAAAGTTTAGAGAAAATACTGAAAGAAAATATATGAACTGGGGCTAATAGCTGGGGCAGAAAATTCTCTTTTTTTAAATTTTATTTTATTTCTCAGTGTTCCAAGGTTCATTGTTTATGCGCCACACCCAGTGCTCCATGCAATACGTGCCCTCCATAATCTCCACCACCACGCTCACCCAACCCCCACTCTCCTCCTCTCAAAAACCCTCAGTTTGTTTCTCAGAGTCCACAGTCTCTCATGGTTTGTCTCCTCCTCCGATTTCCCCCAAGTCACTTCTCCTCTCTTTTTAATTTGTCTGCCTCTTGTCATTTATCTGCACATTGGCTATTAGAAAGAAAGCAAGGGAAAAAAGGAAAAAAAGTAGGAGGGAAACATACAAGCAATAAAAAATTACAACTGTGATAAGATAGTTTAACTACTCTGGCAGGAGGCCACTGTATCACACTGCAGTATCATTAACAGGCTAATGAGTGATATTTAACCCAATATCTAAATTAGTCCTAGAAGCTGGTCCTAAAGCTGTGAAGCTTAGTGGGGGGCAAGGTGAGGAGGGAACTGCTTCATGAGCAAATGTGATAGTTCAGAAATTAAGAAGTGTATGACCTTCTCAGGGAACTGAAGACGTTTGTTTGCAAAGTGGGGCTTTAGGGGGCTCTGGCAAGGGTAAGGGCAGAGAGGCAGGCAGAACCCTTTCCTGAAGAGCCTCATAAAGCAAGAGATTAAGACTTTATCTGAGAGGCAAAACATGCTTTGAGGAGTTTTAAGAGAAATGGCCACAATAGACTTGTGTTGAGACACTATGCCTGCAAAGCATGGATTGAAAAAATACATATTTTAAATATAATTTCTAAGAGCAGAAATGTTGTTAGAACCATATTATTGTGAAATTATATATAATCATAAAAAGTACAGAATATGGAAGAATGAAAAATTCAAAAGACTGCAGTGTGTTGACTGGACAAAGGGCAGCGTAACTGGAGACAGAGGAACCAGACAGGAAGAAGCTTTGAAATAACCCAGGTGTGTTCTGATGACAACCTGGAGCCTGTCAGTGGAGTCGTTTGCTAGTGCTACCATAACAAAATTCCACAAAGTGGCAAAGTAGGTGGCTTCAATAACTGAAATCAATTGTTTCATAGTCTCCCGGTTTTGGATGCCAGAAGACTGAAATCAAAGTATCAGCAGGGATGGTGCCTACTGAGTGCTGTGAGGGACAAGCTATTCCATGCTTTCTCCTAGCCTCTGGAGGTTTCTGATAATCCTTGGTGTTCTTTGACATATACTTACCACCATGGTCTTTGTATTCATCTTTACTTGGCATTCGCCCTGTGTCTCTGTTTCCAAATTTCCTGTCTCATAAGGACATCCATCAGTTATATTGGATTAAGGCCCACCCTAATGACCTCATGTGAACTTGATTCCCTCAGAAAGAAATGTCCAAAAAAGGTGACATTGTGTGGTACTGCAGATACTCTAGGTCCTGGACTCCAACATAGCATTTATGGCAGGGCACAAATGAAACCATACTAGGCAGTGACAGTGGATCTGGAGAGAAGAGAAAGGGTTTTAAGACATGAGGAGGTCAAATTGACAGTCCTGATTGGTTGGGACTCCTGGGATCTGACTTGGGATCAGGGGACACTAAGTGTCCTTTACTTAGTGGTTATAAGGAGAAAACCCCATTTGCAGGTTGGGCAATAGGAAGATAATTAGTTCATTTTTAGATGTTAATTATGGGTAGGTCAGTAAAATGTCCAGGTGATATTGCATAAGGAGTGGGGCTGGAGGCACAAATCTGAGAACTATTATTCTGTTTCTGTCCATGGAAATGCCCAGGGAAGTTTGCCCCATAACAGTCAGACTTGGACAGAACATTTAAGATTCTCTGATACTTACAGGAATGTCAATGGGGGGAGAAGTCTAAAAAACAGCAACACCAAAATAGGAGGTACAGAAGGAGCTACACTTGTAAGAGAAGAGTTTTTGAAGAAGAGTAAGTGAGGGTTGACTCAACCTTGTCAAATTCTCCTGAGAAGTCCAGAAAGATGAGAATTGAAATTTCTACAGGGTGGCAACAAGCTGCTGAAATTTGCAAGAGCAAGGTTAGCACTTCTATTGGGGACTGAGTAGAATATCGAGAGCCAATAGGAAGAGATGGGGTTGTGGACAGTGACAATCAACAACTCTCCTTTGATGTCAAGCTGGGGAGGAGTGAAAAAATCAGCAGAGGCTGTACCTCAGGGTGTGTTGAAGGTTTGTTTGTTTGTGTTTTTGGTTTGTTTTGCTTTGGTTTTTTGTTAAAAGATGGGTGAGACCTTTACATGTACAAAAACTGATGGCAAGGAGAAGAAAAGAAGGGGAGATTTAAGATACAGGAGAAAGACGAGATTCAGAAAAGCAAATTTCTAGAGCAGTTGAGAGTTTATAAGGTCCTGAGCATTTGTGAAGATTCACCTAAACTAGGAAAAAGAACTCCAACAAGATAAAAAATGAAACAGAACAAAATGTCTTCAGTTGTGTCAAGAGAAGGGTTGGGATGGTGCTATACTGTACATTTTGTCTTTTTGTAAAAGGTTTCCAATTTGTAATGGTAAAGGTTGAGAGTACAAGTGGTGGATACTAATTTTGACTTCTCTGTATTTTTATGAATCAAAGAAAACGTGATAAACAGTGAGCTTTGAAGAATGCTGTCAGTTATCCAACTGGAGAGGAAGGTATAACAGGAAGTTTTGGTGTGTCCGTAGTTCGCAGATCTTTCATGTTTTATAAGTGTTTATCGTATCTAAAAATAAGTTATATTTCCTGCTTGGGATCTGATGATAATAAATGTCCTATGCTATTTCATTTTACTATAGCGTATTGAGATCTTTTGTTACAGTCTATAATAGCAATAACGTTTCCAGGATTCGGGTCAATTTTACACAACGGATTTATTTTAGATTACCGTATTAGCAAATTATACAGTTTCCTCTACTGACATGAGGGAAAGATCAACAAACTGCTTATAAGTCAAATGTTTTCCTTTATAGGTATTCCATTAAAGTTGCTTTACCGCATCCTGTTACAATACAGGTACGCACGTCTAAACCAGATGTATTCATCAAGCTACAGATCTTAGAAAATGAGGAAATTATTGTCAGCTCCACTGGGAAAGGCCATGCTATAATCCCAGCAATCAACTTCTTAGGGAGTGAAAAAGTTGTGAGCTCTCAGTGTAAGTGTGTCTCTTGCCTTTTTAAATGTGTTATTTAGATCTGTAAATAAGTATTTTTGTGTATGCAACTGATTTTAAATTATTTTATTTAAGGTAAAATAGGAAAGAAGCTATTATTTATATCTGTAAATATATCTGTAAAACTTGTTACTATTTTTTAAATAGTAAAATATTTTTTAAAACTTTCATTTGTGTGTCAGATTAGTCTCTGAAGATCAGTAGATAGTTAAAATTCTACTTTAAAGACTTTCTTATATATACCTTCTTAGAATTCTGATTAAGAAATAACATTTTTACTACCTTGAGAGAAGTTTTCACTGTTCTTTTATCCCTAATTCATTATTTTAAGAAATACTCTATCTATAAAAATTAATAGAACCTTTAAAATCATTACTTTTAATATAAGTCATAAGAACTATTAATTAATAAAATAAAATTGTTTCTGAAATAATGGAAGACAGAGATACTGAGATACATATTCAATTATTTTTGTAATGATTCTGACCATAAAAATAATACATTGCCCAATGTAGAAAATTTTGAAACAGAAAATTATAAATAAGAGAACAGTAAGTCCCTTGTGCTTTTCCTGAATTCTGCCATTATGTTTTTTTAAATAATTGATTATATCTTTTTTTTTTTTTAAGGATTTATTTATTTATCTGGGGCACCTGGGTGGCTCAGTCCGTTGGATGTCTTCTTTTGGCTCAGGTCATGATCCCGGATCCCAGGATGGAGCCCTGTGTCAGGGTCCCTGCTCAGCAGGGAGTCTGGTTCTCCTTCTATCCCTCACCCTGTTCATGCTCTCTCTCTCTCTCAAATAAATACATAAAATCTTAAAAAAAAAACGATTTATTTGAGAGAGAGAGACTGCATATATGGGGGGCAGGTAGAGGGAAAGAGAGAAAGAAAATCTCAAGCAGACTCCCAGCTGGGTGCAGAGCCCTACATGGGTCTCAATCTCAACCTTGAGATCATGACCTGAGCTGAAATCAAGAGTCAGACATTTACCTGACTGAGCCAACCCAGTATCCATAAATAATTGATTACATCTTATAGTTGACTTTTGCATAACAATTTGTTGCCACTATCCTTCCTGAACTCTCATTCCCAATAGTGCTTATGTTGATTATCTTAAGTGTATAAGCAAATTACTAAAAATGACTTTCTACCTATCTTATAATATTTGAATGTTTCTTTTTTTTTTCTTCTTCTTTTCTGTCTTTTTTAGAATAGATGCCCCTAAAGCAGGGCTCTCTTTATTTTTTCTTATTAAGCCCGGAAACAATATGTGAGTTGTCATTGTAGCCCAGGAATATTCCCTTCTAATATGAATAAGAATTTGGAGGACCAGAGAATTAAAGACCTCACACTATAATGGCACAGGGACGTGGAAAATGCACTATATTAGATTAGTAAGACTGAACTTGAGTACAATCGCAAATTAAACAATTCTTTTGATGCTGTCTCCTTTTTCTCCCATCATTTGCCCTTCATCCCTGAAGATACCCAGGGTTGTTTTCAGTACTCAATTCACATTATCACACGTGGTTTTCATTCAAATCTGCCTGTACTCTATTTATATCTTTTCCTTCGATATGTTAAGACTGTCAAACTACTGTTAAGTTTTGCTAGTCTGAATGCTGCTCTTACTCTTTAAATTGGCTCTGTTTTCTTCATTCTAATCTATTCTACACAGATTTCATAGTTTGCTTCATGCAGGGATACCTTAATTCCAAAACTTTAGCAGGCATAGCATACCAACACTCCTATGGTATTTGTGGTCTTATTTTTTTTTTTTTTCTTTATATAACTCATTAACAGCAAATCCTTTGTTTCAAATAGTAGAGTCAGGGGCACCTGAGTGGCTCAGTCAGTTAAGCATCTGCCTTTGGCTCAACTCATGATCCCAGGGGCCTTGGTCAAGTCCTGTGTCAGGTTCCCTGTACAGTGGGGATCCTGCTTCTCCCTTTGCCTCTGCCACTCCCCATTGCTCATACTTTTGTGTGCTCTTTCTCTTTTTCTCCCCACTCTCTCAAATAAATAAATAAAATCTTCAAATTAGTAGAGTCTAACACTGCTTATAGTTTGTCACATAGGTCATAATTATTTCACTTCATAGGTTACTATTTCCAAGAAAATTACACATAATCATTTAAATAATTTTATGAGTTTACTTATGGCAAAGAAAGGGACAGAAATGGAGTAGAAAGGTGATTGGAACAGAATTCAGAAGTTAATCCAAAATTAGTCATTATCCAAGATTGTTCTTCTTTTATAAGATATTTCTATTTTCACATTTGTGATCTTCAGTATAATTTTTTTGGATTCCCTTCAAACATGTAAAAATATATCATTTTCCTTCTGATTGCCTTGACTATATAGATTAATTAATTTGAGAATGGACACCTTTATAGTACTGAATTCATATGCAAGTAAAAACTATTTCTTTCCATTCACTCATGACTCTTCATGTTTCACAGATTAGATTTTAAAATATCTCCATAGATACTTATAGAATTGTTACTGTGAGTTAGATTATTTCTTGATTTAGATTTTAAACAGGTTATCATTTTTAAAGGGATGCTATTAATTTGCATTTATGAACCACATAAGCAGACACTGAAATTCCTTTTTCCTTTAAAACATTTTTTAGCTGCTTCTCTTAGAAATATATTCATTTATGAATTTTTTATGACTTGTATATCTGGAGTACCTCCCCCAATATACATGTAAAAAAATGTGTGTGTGTATGTGCACATAATATTTGTAGGAGAATAGGATATGGCAGACTATAATATTTATTCTGTAAGCAAACATTCTATTGTACTAAAGAAGAAATAAACTCCATTGCAAAGATTTAGAAGGCTCTGAAGTGACCCAGTAACAAAATCTTAAATATAGGCTCTTCAGGTTTTGATTTATCTCATGAGAATTTGAAAGAATGTCATACAATTTTTTAAAAGATTTCATTTATTTGTTTTTTGACAGAAAGAGACACAGTGAGAGAGGGAGCACAAGTAGGGGGGTGTGGGAGAGGGAGAAGTAGGCTTCCTGCTGAGCAGAGAGCCTGATGTGGGGCTCAATCCCAGGACCCTGGGATCACGACCTGAGCTAAAGGCAGATGCTTAATGACTGAGCTACCCAGGCACCTCTATTTCATATAGTTTTTAAGAATAAAATCTTATACCAGTACCCATGCTATAGGGTTAATATTAAATTTGGAATTTTCCACAGATTTTACAATCTAAGAAACTGGGTCTTTGAGAAAGTACTATGGATTAGGGATAGTAAAATATTTTATTTCATATGGCTGTATAAGACTCAATTTTGTTGATGATATACTATAATTAATGTAGTCAGTCACCTAGTGATAGTGATTTGTGATAACTTTAATTTTATATTTACATAAAAAATGCTTTTTTAAAAAAAACGCATGTATATTCTTGTCTGAACTTGTATATGCATATATATTGGATAAATGCTTAGATGTAGAACTCTGGGGTCAAGGGTATGTACAGTTTAATTTTGGTATATATTGCCAAATTGTCCTCCATGGAGTTTGCCTAAACTTATCTTATTTTATCCTTTATTCTAAGTTATCATATTCGTGACTTTTATCAATGTGACTGCTAAAAATATTAATTTATATTATTCTTAGAGTTAGTGATGTTCAAGCATGTATGATTTTATATATCTTACTTATATTCCTTTTATATTTTCTTCTTCAAAAATTTTCTGTGTGTTATGCTTGCTTTTCTGTTAGAATTAACTTTTTTTCTGATTGATTTATAGATTCTCATATATTAAGGAAAATTTTCTTCTTTTTTATATATGGTTAAAAGATGGATTGAATGAATGACATAATGTCTGAAGGAAGTAATGAAGGAATACTTCACAAGGGTAGAGACTTTGTGTCATTCATTCTTCACTGCTAATCAAAGTATAATTTATATAGAGGAAAAGGCACAAATCTAATTTGATGAATTTGGTAAGTGCATACACTAGTGTGACCCACACTTCTAACAAGATATAGATATTTCTATTTACCCACAAGATCTCTCAAGGCCATTTCTATTCAATTCCATCTCCCCAAAGATGTAACTGTTCACATTTTCATCACAGTATACTAATTTTACCTGTTCTAGAACTCCACGAAACCCTACAAACACTCTTTTGGCCCTGGTATCTTAAGCTCGGGATAATGTTTTTAAGATACATTCCTATTGTTGCTACTGCATTTCCTTTTATATTGCAGAGTATTATCCCATTGTATGGAAATACTACACTTTATTTATTCTTTTATTGGGCATATGAGTTTATTCCAGTTTTAGGGTATGATAAAGCTGTTAGAGACATACTTGCACATGTTTTTTTAACAATATTTTCATTTTTCTTGAATCAATATTCAGGAGTTGGATTAACATGCCATGGCTTGACATATGTATATTTTATCTTTTTTGACTTAGCCAAAAAATTTGTCAAAGGGACTCCATCATTTTATACTCCCATCAGCAAAATGTATGAGTTCTGGTTTCTCCATATTTTTGCTTACATTTATTGCCAATGTTTTTTATTTTAGTCATTCTGGTGGGTATGTAGTGCTATTTCTTTGTGGTTTAAATTTTCTGACTAATGATGTTGAGCTTATTGGGCATATGTGTGCCTATTGGCCATATGTATAACTCATTGACTGAAGTATCTATTCATGCATTATGGCCATATTTTTAATGGGTTGTCTTTTTTTATATATCCTGGATACACTCTTCATCAAATATTTGCTTTGCAAAGACGATCTCTTGTCTTTTCATTTCCTTAGCAATAGCTTTAAAAAAAAAAAGATTTTATTTGTTTAATTGAGATAGAGTGAGAGCAAATGAGAGAGAGAGATTGAGAGGGAGTGGGGCAAAGTGAGAGAGAGAAGCAGGCTTTCTGCTGAACAGGGAGCCTGATGCAGGACTTGGGACTCATGACCTGAGCAGAAAGCAGACCTTTAACTG